AAGAAAAAAATTACCATAGATACTATAGAGGTAGCGGCCGTAGGGCACCAGGAGCACGTACCCCTAAGCCTTCATTGGTTTACGTCCCTGATCTCAAGTTAAATCTATAATTTAATTAGCTAAATTCCATAATAAAGAAAAACATTAACATAAATTATTTCAGGCATTCCTTAAGGACAACATAAGGGCAAAGTGGTTCGCACTACTCTTATCTAATTAAATCTTAACCTCTAACATCATATCATAATATAAATTAAACTCCAAAGTACGACTCTAAGAGCTCATTTGGGATTACTTTTCTCTTCCCACCAAATCGCCATTGTTATCATCCATCACTTTAATTCTAAGAGCTTGTTTGGGATTGCTTCTCTCTTCTCACCAAATCGCCATTGTTACCATCCATCCCTTTAATTGTAAGGGATTTTTACATATAAATGGAGTTAGAAAGCCATATTTACTCATGGATAAAGTCAAAGTCTTATATTTTCACAAAAATGAGTTTGACCTAAATGATGACATGGCACATGAAGTTTTACTGTTTAAAATTTTTGTTGCCTAAAATGCTCTTCTCCCTATTCCAATGTATTTACCTTAGTACCCTTGTTTAGAAAACATGGTACCTGGAGGCAAAAAGTGGTACCTTCAATTCAAAAACGTGGTACCTTTAGAACAAAAGTAGTACCTTCGTAAAAGGGACTTATTTTTGCAATTGAAAATGGCATTAAACCTCACACCGCTAATTAAGTTGCACATTACATCCATAAACAGCTCTATTAGCGCTATGAATAACACAAAATATTCTCTAAGCTAGCTAAACGAGTATTTAGAAAACATGGTACCTGGAGGCCAAAAAGTGGTACCTTCAGTTCAAAAACGTGGTACCTTTAGAACAAAAATGGTACCTTCGTAAAAGGAACTTATTTTTACAATTGAAAATGATATTAAACCTCACATTAGATCCATAAAAAGCTTTATTAATGCCATAAATAACATAAATATTTCTTAATTATCATATACTACATCTAAATAGTTGGTATGGTAGATTTTTTTTTCGCACCATTTTAATCGGCAAGGCTGTTTGGGACTTTTGAATAACTATTTCAATAATACAATTGTTAAAAAAATTATGGTATCCAAAGATCATGTTTGATATGGATCTGGGTCATAATTAAATCTTTAGAATTTTTCAATGATAATAGGGAGACAATTTGGTCTTTAGACCTCTTATATATGAAGACCATTTAGAATTTTGATATAGATTTGGGTCCTAATTAATTGTAAGATGCTATATATATATATATATATATATATATATATATATATATATATTAATTGTATGATGAGAATAAAATGATTATCATGAATTCAAACATACATCTTATACATTATAACTTAAAGAGATTAATGTGTTATTGAGATTCTGGAATGCCCTAGTCTAGAATTATATTTTTCTTTACATACAATTATAATTATACTGATATGTTATTGAAATTTTGGAATGCCTCAGTCTAGAAATTCTGGAATGCCTCATCTTATGCATTTAATTATATTTTTTCATTTTGTTTAAGAGTTTGAAAATTTGTCCACGTTTTTAGTTCCTCTCCTTCACCTTTTCCGTTAATTTTTTCGTTAATGTATCTGTGATACAATTAAATGTAGTAACCTTTTTTTTTTTTTGACAGTGTGATTGGAGGATCGATTCTTGCCATCAAGACTTTATATGGATGAGTGGAGGCTAATATTGCAATCAAGACTTTGTACGGACGAGTGGGGGCTAATAAATGTTCAAACTTAATAATTGTGTTCTTATTTTGCAAAAGATGATTGCTTCCTTTAAATTTAGTGATTTAGTTTTTTTATTTCTTGTTGACTTTATTAGATTGGATGGTTGATAACTTTTTTGACATTCGTTGTGACTTAAAGTATTTTGTAAACATGGTACTTCACTTGATGGTTTTGATTTAATGAAAAGTAATGGATTTTGGTTGTTCTATTTAATAAATACATGTTAGGCTCTTCTATTTAATAAAAAGGTTTATAAATTTTTCAACAGCAGTGTTAGGAAATTGATAATTTTCTTGACAAATGGATTTAGTTCTTGTTTTGGAACATTGATAAATGGTCAATTGGAGTAGAAAATTGATAAATGGTGAATTTTTTAATTGTAGAATGAATTTTTTGTTGTAGTGATAGGTGTTGATTTACATTGATGAATTTTTTAATTGATGAACGGATTTAGTTCCGGGAGAAAAACTTTGAAGAACTGAGGGCACTTATCAGGTAAAGAGAACTTTTTGCGAGGTTTCACCATTGTTTGATCTTACTCCTTACAAGCTTAAAGCCCTAACCCTAATTTCGACAGCTCTTACATTAATTTGTGGAGGTAAGTTCCTATTTTGTAAGAACCAAGCGCACCTCCTGAAGGATAATTTGGGTTGCAGGTACTATTCCATTATGGAATTGGCTTAAAAGCAGCTTCTTTACCTATCAAGTAGAGAATAATTGTGTTTACAATATATTGTAGAATTAAAAAAAAAAAAAAAAAATTGCAGATAAACAATGTTTTAAGTGCTCTTGGAGTATATTTTTTACTATTCATTCCCTCAAGTCAGCTAGATTGGAATATATTTTGTACTCTTTATGACACTAATGGATTTATTTGTGGATGTAATGTGCAACCTAATTAGCGGTGTGGGGTTTAATACCATTTTCAATTGCAAAAATAAATCCATTTTGCAAAGGTACCACTTTTTTCCCATAGGTACCACGTTTTTGAACTGAAGGTACCACTTTTTGGCCTCCAGGTACCATGTTTCGTAAACACTTGCTTAGCTAGCTTGGAGAATATTGTGTTATTTATGGCGCTAATGGAGCTGTTTATGGATCTAATGTGCAACTTAATTAACGGTGTGGGGTTTAATTTCATTTTCAATTGCAAAAATAAGTTCCTTTTACGAAGGTACCATTTTTATTCTAAAGGTATCATGTTTTTGAACTGAAGGTACCACTTTTTGGTCTTCAGGTACCATGTTTTCTAAACACTCGCTTAACTAGCTTAGAGAATATTTTGTGTTATTTATAGCGCTAATGGAGCTGTTTATGGATATAATGTGCAACTTAATTAGTGGTGTGGGGTTTAATGTCATTTTCAATTGCAAAAATAAGTCCATTTTACGAAGATACCACTTTTGTTCTAAAGGTACCACGTTTTTGAACTGAAGATACCACTTTTTGGCCTCTAGGTACCATGTTTTCTAACCAAGGGTGATAAGGTAAATGCATTGGAATAGGGAGAAGGGCATTTTAGGTAACAAATATTTTAAACAGTAAAACTTCATGTGCCATGTCATCATTTAGGTCAAACTCATTTTTGTGAAAATATAAGACTTTGACTCCATCCATGAGTAAATATGGCTCCCTAACTCCATTTATATGTAAAAATCCCTAATTGTAAAGCCAAAATATTCATCATTTCTTCTGCCACCCTAATATTTTGTAAATTTAATATAATAATTGTATTATTTAATTTAAAATTAAATAACAAGATCAAATTTGACATTTCACAATTCATTTAATGGGTCAACTAAGAATTTGAGGGTAACTTGATAAGTTTTGTTAATTCATGAATTTTTTTAATCTTACTGAAGATTTTATGCACGATTTTAAAAATATAGGAAGGTTTTTGTAAATTTAACCCTAAATTATAAAAAACACCCAATCCCTCCACTTATTTAGTTGTCATAAAATATTTAGAAAAAAAATATATTAAAATTTATTAAAAATAACTTATTTATTAATTTTTGACAAATTATTTTATAAGCTCGTTTGATATATTCGACCTAAATTTTTATCAAACGCTAAAAAATAAAAAATAAATTTTTTTTTTATTTTATGAAAATATTTTTTTATTTTTATTTTATTGGTATTTGACAAAAATTTACATTAAGATTGAGGTCGAGTCCATTGGGATGGAGTATGTAAAATAACTTGACAAAAATTAATAAATAAATTATTTTTATTAAATTTTAATATTTTTTTTTTATAAATATTTTACGATAATTAAATATTAAAAAATAAAAAAAAAATCCTGAAAAATATTTGACGTGGAGTAGAATACTTTTGGAGTCTTTGACTATTATTCCGCACGTGGTCTAAAATGGTTGAGCGAAGAGCCACGAAGTCACCATCCTTTGACTGTACTTAGCGCCATGAATGGTAGGCGCACCACACATTCCTTTTTATTCCATACATCATCCTCATATGCATCCCATAACATATTACTGCCAAGTATAACCTTTTCCTATTAATAATCAAATACTATATTATTATGTAGTGAGTCAGAGTGAATATTATATAATATTACTGCAACCAAACCAAGAATATAATAATTTAAATATAATTTTAAATATAAGTGTCTTGTTGGAACGGTGATACTACTGCTACCAATCCAAAAATATAATAATTTAAAAATAACATTAAATATAAGTGTCTTGTTGAAATTGTTGGTTACTCGTGGAGTTTGTTTTGAGTTTTGCATTCTCTGTCTTTGTTAATCAACAGTGGAGTCTTATCAAAAATGATCCAAACAACTCCTAAAATGTCATAATTCAAATTCAGAATGATTAAAAAATGATCAGATTAAAAACCTAAGAATTTTTTAATAAAGAATTATTTTTGATAAACACTCAATGCATGCAGGGCGGAAGTTGTAGGTATTTAATGGCGAATTATGACTTGTAAAATCTGGACACTAAGAAATTATTACATTGAGGCCAATCATCAATTGACATGTAAGTTTAAAAAGTGAAATAAAGTTGACTTAAAATTTACGCCTTTACTTACTTGTCAATGGGTGATTCGTTCAGCACCAATAATCCGAGAACATGTATAACAGAAAAAAACTAAAAGTGAAATTTTTTATGTACAGCCTAGCTGTACCGGATCATAACTCAATCGCAAAATCAATCTCAACCTAATTACAAAGGAAATGGAAATTAGAGTCATTAATCGGAGGAGCTTAGAAACAAATGACGGATGAGAGAGAGAGAGAAATTTCTTCACGAAGCTACGGAATAGTCAGACCCACCTCCCAATTCTCTCACTAAACGTATCTATCTCTCTTCTTCTCAAAGCAAATTAATATTTGTTCTGTGAATTGTTTGAATCTCGTAGGCTGATCTGCAATAGAGCACCAACCGCGAAGCTTCATAAGCTTGCTTGAAATCGTTCACGAGGAGGATTAAAGTTCTGGGTTTTCTTTATAGCAAAATTTAGGGTTTAGGATTGGATTAGAATTTTGAGCTTAAAGGTTACAATTCTTATATACATATATATATATATATATGTATATGTATATGTATATATAGAGAGGATTGAAAATCATGTTATCTAATCATCTTCAGAACGGTATAGAGAGTGCGAAACTGGCCTGGTCTCGGCTGCCGAATTCGGAGGATGGTGCGGCGGATGAGGTCGGCATATCGAAGAAAACTGATGGAAACAGTGTAGAGAGTCTCGACTATGAAGTGATTGAGAATTGGGCGTATAGGGAAGAGCAGGTTGTGTTTCTGAGTTCAGTTTCTGATAATAACTATGTTTTTTTAGTTCGACCTATATGTGCATATATATATATATATATAAACGATTTGATTTGTAATTTGATATCTGCAGGCACAGAGAGGAAAGCTTTACGTTGGATATTATGTGGCAGTGAAATGGTTCTTTGCGCTGCTCATTGGCATTGGTGAGTAGATAGGTTCTGCCCTTGGTTTATGACTATTGGCATGTATTCCTAAACATCAAAATCTCAATCTCTCTTTTCACATGTCACTTAGATTATTTAGTGTTCTTTCGATGATCTTTTTTTTTTTTTTTTTTTCAATATATATATATATATATATATATTGTTAAATGCATTTCTTTCATATGCTTGATTTTATACAGATCTTCGAAAAAATGAAAAAAAAAAAAAAAAAAAGGTTCAAGAAACATGTATCCCAAAATAAATTGGAAAAAAGAAGCTTTTAAACATAAGAACAAAAAAGCAGAAAAATCTACAAACTGGTCCTACTGTCTTATTGCTCCATTCCAAGTTCATTACTTGAATTCCCCTGGTTATAGATAAAACTCTTAATAGTTACAGTAGGTAAAATGGTAATCATTGGCAACAGGCAAAGAAGCTTTATTGTGATATCAAGGTAGTTATCCGTATTGTGATAGCAACGTGATAGAATAAATCATATTGAACGATTTGTATGCTTCTGTGAAGTCGGAGGAGCAACTAACTAATGTATTCCCTAAAGACCACAGTAGCGAGTCTTTTTCTTTTTCATTCCACTTTATGCAAGGTGGAAATGAGGGATATCTGTGCACCAACTTGAGGGGGAGCTTAGAACTTATAATGTTTGGGATATTGCTCGAGCATTTGAGGATATTGTTTGAATAGACAGGATATCTTAAAATATTCTAGATAACATAAGCATGTTTAGATGGAAAAGTGAAAAAGAAGAAAGCATAAAACTACAGGAATTAGGATGGGCAGTTTAGGTTGAAGGCACCAAGTGAAAGGGTAAACTAAGGAGACATAGTAAAATGGAGTTATATATGACTTCCTGGCACATCATTGAAGCAAAAATGACAAATGGATATCATTAGGCACCAAAACAAGAATTCCAAAACCAAACTCATTTGGCTGGAGTAAGCCTAAGGTAAGTCTAAATAACCACATAATGGGGAGAAATAGAGGAAGTGGATACACATACGACCAGAATCACCAGATATGTTTATTAAAAAAATGAAGAAGAATAAGAAGAACAAGAAAAGAAAAGAAAAGGTTACCATACTATGACATTGAGAGGAGATGAGTACAAAACATTTTTCCATAATTATATCTAACGGTATCTTCTTCTTTTTTTTCTTTTTGATAATTAAGCAAATTCAATAAAAAGCGTTCAAAAGAGGAACGCGCCTCATGAGTAACAAAAGGATCCTATGGACCCAAAGAAGAAATAAAATCAATTGTCTCCTCCGGGGAGGAACAATGCCTTCCGGAACCCCAAAAGCATAAAGATGTAATAAAAGTTGACTTGAGAACCACAATCGAGGATTCCTTTCCTTCAAAGAATCTATTATTCCGCTCCCTCCATAGACACCACCATAAGCACAACGGCACCATCCTCCAAAACCCACGAGCATGACCTCCCACAAAGTATCCTCTCCAAGCCTCAATCGGTCCTCTCGTAGATCTAGGCATCACCCACAACACTCCAAACATGCCTAACAACAGACAATAAACAAACAAAAGCCACTGGACAGTGCAAAAGAAGATGATCCACCGATTCTCCATAACATTTGCACATACAACACCAGTTAACTATTATTTTGTCTATGCCTCCTCAAGTTGTCAAGTGTCAAAATCTTGCCCCACACCACTGTCCAGGTAAAGAAGGCCACTTTGAGTGGCATCTTAGATATCTAATGGTTTCACAATCCACATGCAACAATCCATTTCACTCTATGAAATTACCATTGTGCCTATGTAAAGCTTTACATGGATCATGCATTTATTTATTTGGATGTAACTTTAATATACTTAGACTAGGTAATACGGTTTGAATATTATCATTAGAACTAGTTTTTACCACATGCCCAAAGATGGAAGTATTATTTTCCTCAAACATGCCTTTGTTTCTTAATAAGTATGCTTGCCCATATCTTTGAATTCTTCTTACTTGAATTCCCCTGGTTATAGGTAAAACTCTTGCATAAAGTGGGATGAAAAAGAAAAAGACTTGCTAAAGTATGTTTGTTCATATCTTTGAATTCTTCTTATTTGAATTCCCCTGGTATAGGTAAAACTCTTGCATAAAGTGGGATGAAAAAGAAAAAGATTTGATACTAAGGTCTTTAGTGAATACATTAGCTAAGGTCTTTAGTGAATACATTAGCTAGTTGCTCCTCCGACTTCACAGAAGCATACAAATCGTTCAATGTGATTTATTCTATCACGTTGATCTGGGTATGCGCAATACCGATAACTACCTTGCTATCACAATAAAGCTTCTTTGCCTGTTGCCAATGATTCCCACTTCCATCAAAGTTTGGAGGCAGATAAGCTCAGATACTCTTTGCGTTGTATTTAGCTTCCACGTTGGATTTGGTCACAACTGACTTTTTTTTTTCTTCAGCAAGTGACTAAATTTCCTCCTAGGAAGGTGCAATAATCAGAACTAGTTTTTCTTATCAATCGAGCCTGCCGAATCTGCATCAGTGAATGCCTCTAGGTTAATATGATACATTCGCAAAAGAACAATAAAGAACTGAGAAATGAAATGACATAAACTATGAAACAGATAGAAAAATATTGGATTATAAATTGTTTTCTTCTGTGCATTGCTTAAACCTTCTTGGCATGTGCTGCAAGGATGTTGCAGTAACTGACTAGCAACTTCTATTGCATATGCTATGTCTGGATGAGTATGAGATAGAAATATAAGTTTATCCTCCAATCTTTGATTTCTTACCTTATCTATTTGGCTACCCTTACCACTTCTAAGGCACTGATTAGCTTCAATAGGAGAATCTGTTGGTCTACATCCTAGCATACCTGTTTCTTCTATCATATCATGACTTATGTTGAGAAATGAAGAAGCCATTGTCAGATCTAGCAACTTCAATCAAGTAAGTAGCATAAATTTCCCAAGGCCTTAGTTTCAAACTCCTTGAGGGTAATTCACACTTTTTTTTCTTTTAATCGGTGTATATTGGCTGTAATATGCCAGGAAATTGAGTTGATTTCCTAATTAGATTTGAACTCTTTCATAGTAGTGTATGATGTTTCATGGATTTGTATTATTGTTGTGTGAATAGTCTGCCATTTGTTTGGTAGGTTGCTCCTGTAGTATGGGAATTTCGGTATTGTTCAATGCTGTGTTGATATGAAGTTAATTACCATTGTATATCTGTTGCGTACCTGTTATGTATGTGGAATTTTTTTATGATTATCACTATTAAAAACTGTTTGATAGATGACAGATGCAATGACTTTAAGATAGCATAATAATTACACTGGAATTGTTTAAGCAGGTTTCCTAATGGGATTCTTGCTCACTTCCTCCACTATTTCCCTTCAGAGATTCAACCAGGTGGCAGTGAGGGCTCCCAGCAGGGGCAAACTTGGGAGCAGTTCATAGATGGAATGCTTTTGAAAAATTTCTGTATCATTGTATATAGCAGCTTAGGTAGCATCTAGGATGTACCTGGGTTCATGGTATTTGTGTAAATAAATCAATATTCAGGGATGATGTTGTAAACTATTTAAAGAACTCCTGCTTATGATATAGAACTTTTGGATAGCCGGCAAAATGCTGTTTAACATAGAATATATTATGATTATACTTGCTCGGGGGGCATATAGAGATAGCTATTCTTAATAACACTCATAACATCTCGTTCTCCCAAATTTCGATGGGGGACTCGAACTTTTATTTTGACTCTTTAATGTTTGTCTTTTGAATTTGCTATCTAACTACCCTTGCTTGCTCATTTATCTGAGTTCCTTTTGGCTTGCTTGCAGGTACTGGATTAGCTGCTGTTTTCATTAATATTTCGGTTGAGAACTTTGCTGGATGGAAGTTCTCATTGACTTTTTCTATAATACAAAAGTCCTACGTGGCTGGATTTGTAGTATATATATTAATCAACTTGGTTTTAGTCTTCTCTTCTGTATATATTGTCACACAATTCGCACCAGCAGCTGCAGGATCCGGTATTCCTGAAATCAAGGGTTATTTGAATGGTAAGTTGTCTTTGTCAATCAGCCATTTTTATTGAGTAGTCAATTATCCATTCAAAGTTATCACATATTTTGAGAGGGCGTTGATTATCATTCAAATGTCCAGGCGTTGATTCACATGGCATCCTTCTTTTCAGAACTTTGATTGGAAAGGTCTGATGGTATTTCTTGGAATTCTGCTGTATTTACTATGATTTATGATAATTGTTTCATATGTGATATGTTCTCTGTCTAAAGATATTTGGAAGCATTGGTTCTGTGGGAGGTGGTCTGGCCCTTGGCAAAGAGGGTCCTCTTGTTCATACTGGTGCATGCATTGCTTCTTTGTTGGGACAAGTAAGCACACGATGCTTGAATATATATTATATAAAGAAAATAGGCATTTAGTTGATTTTCTTACCATGTTGTGCACTTCAACAATACCAAATTTGGAAATAACTATGCTTGAGGAGGAACTTGTTGGTCTAAGGTTTAGTCAATGATTGTTATGGACTGCAATGCTACAAAAGTTTTAAATTTTTTGTCCATATAAATATTTAACTCAGGCCTTACTATTTTTTTGGGGACATGGTCTTTATGTTGTGGATTGAGGGAGAGCGCACGTGCAGGATTCATTTTGAACTTTTAAAAGGGGAGTGTTAAATATGAACTATTAAATATGTTTTATTCAATTTCAATACATTCTGTAGTACATAATACCAAAAGTTGTATTATAAGAACAATTGAAAATGAAATACGCATTAGATAGGGTTCTTGTTTTCTAGAATGTGTTAGACATGGTTATTGTGTCCTCAGGAAGTGGCATTTTAGTATTTGATTGTGTTGCTTACTTATGGTGCATGTTGGTTTTCCATTTTGTCATTTTCCAATTGAGCTTTTTTACACTTGTCTTTTGCATATTGAACTTTCAAACCATAGTTAACTGTGATCATTATGCTATTAGAACTTCACATTTCATACATTTTTAGTCCGATGTCTGCCTATATACTAATTTTTTTGTCCATTTTATGAATAAAAATCAGGGTGGATCAACAAAATATCATCTAAGTTTGAGGTGGCTACAAGTTTTTAAAAGTGATCGAGATCGCCGTGATCTTGTGAGTGACTTTCTATGAAGCCATGACCTTGAAGCTTTTATTTGTGTAGAATTTTGAAGATTGTCATACTTGGTTTTGTTTGCATGTTATTTGTCTCTTTTAAGTTTTGTTTTTATTGTGTGTGTGTTTTTTTTTTTAGTTCCTGAATATTGTTGGAAGTAATATACGGTGATTTTCTTCAACCCATCTCTTTGTATGAAAGGTGTTATAACGATCATTACTCAGTGTGATCCCCATTAATTTAGGGTGTTGGGAGTGGGAGAGGTAGACTGGATACAGCCCAAACCTTTGATATTAAATGTAGGAGAGGTGTAAACCATGCAATGTGTTCTTAAATTAAGAACCTCTGTGCACTGGTCTGGTCTTTCCATTTATCAATTTTAATGGTAAATTACACTGACCTCTCTCAGGTTTGATCTAATTACAAACGCATGCTAAGAAAGGCTGAAGCTACATTCAGACCCCCTCTCAGAGTTTGTCGTCTAATGGATATGAATGGTTGGTGCAAAATGACTTTGATACCCTTGAGCTTATTAAACACTTATTCCATAAAATAATTAACAAAAATCAGTACAAGTTTAAAGACGATTATGCCCACTTAAAAAAGCTAATGGATTCCTTTTGACTACTTGAGGCAGTTTCTGAATCATTTCACACCTTTAAGCTTAAATTCCAATGTTCAAATCCCTAGCAAGCATATATATGCAAATAACTGGAATTTATGAGATGGAATGATAATGTACACTCAAAATTAAATAGACTGCTAGTAATACACATCATAATATAATTCAAGACATTAGGGCGGTGGGCTTGGTTGGTGGTGTTGGAGTAGTAGTTATGAATGTTTGAGAGGGAGTGGCCTTGGTTGGTGTTGTTGGAGTAGTAGTTATGAATGTTTGAAAGGGAGTGGAAAAGAAAAGAGAGATTGAGAAACGAGAGAATCAGAAATTGTTTTTTTTTGCTTTTTTTTTTTTGGGGGGGGGGGGGGGGGGGGGGGGGGGGGGGGGGGGGGGAGGGGGGAGGGGGTGGGTGGGGCTATGGTTGTGTTGAATGAATGAGATTGGTGGTGGTGGACATACGTGATGGTGCGGAGAAAGTGGGTGGGTGAAGGACGTGATGAGTCCCTGCCTTCAACCCCTACTTATAATATTTTTCAGAATTTCTACCAATTCATTCTCAATCGATACCATTAGTGAGACTTTCATATCAACAATTCTCTATCTCTCTCATCCACAATCCTCTCTCTCTCGATAACCCTAAATGGGAGAAATTTGATACAATATCAACAATGCTTTTATCAAATTGTTTTAGAGCTCTTCCTCCTCTATCTCAAAAATAACTTCTCTTCCCCCCCCCCCCCCCCCCTTCCTTCTTCTCTCATATTCATTTTCTTCATTCTTGTTTAAATCCAACACATAACAAGCAACCTAAAATAAGTAGATGAGGAAGAAGAAGAAAGGAAGGGGGTGAGATCAGAGGTGGGAATGGGAAGAAAATTCATATTAAGTAATAGGATTTAGATGAAATGGGTTACATTCTGGGTAATTCACCAAGGTTATTTTCTTTAACATCCTTGTTAATAACTTGAAATTTCAGAATGAAATCTAGGGTTATTTCTATTTTATGTCCTTTTAATGATCTTAGGGCATATTTGGTATTACAAAATATATAACTTATTATGGGAGGGGGTCACATAGATCCCACTAGGGGTGCACAAGAAACTGTTGGAATTGGCAAACCCGTACGAACCGAACCGAACTGTTGGTTTGGTTAGGTTCTTTTACGGTTCGGTTCTGGTTCCTAAATTAAAGAATCATGAGTTAACTGTTCAGTTCTGGTTCCAGGGCCATTATGACTGAGCCAAACCATAACTAAATACATATGTATATCATAATATTAATAATATAACAGTATAGCTAACAACGCTACAGTCTGTCTTACAAAATACTAAACCATATTACAAGTGCGTGTATATCAGATAGGTCCACATGACACCTCCATTTCTAATGTGTTTCAAAGGCAAAGCTTCAAACACTCATCAATGGCAACCAGACAAGACCCATCCACCAAGACAACACCCAGTAACGCCACCGTCGCTGCCACCATGACAACGCCAATATTCATCGGCACACCCACTCTCCGCTCACTCCATTCCTACAAAACCCTGATCCACCACCTCCAAACCTCTCTCCCCCGAGCCTCATCCACCATCCAATCCCCATTCACTAAACCCACCAAACAACCCTCTATTCCTCTCTCCTCCTCGTGCCCTCTTGGTCACTCTATCCTTCCCTCCCTTCATCGGCATCAAACTCGTCATACACCACCCCCACTCCTCCTCCCTCAACCTCCCCATTGTCATGCAACCTATGTCCTCTTCAACTCACTCACCTGCCAAAATGCAAAGAAGAATCGTGGTTCAGAACCAAACCGGTCTTTCATGGTTCGGTTCGGTTCCATGTCCGAATGGTTCTGGTTCCAATTTTATAAGAATCGTTGGGAATTGTTCGGTTCCGATTTAGTTTGCAACCGTATCGAACTGGACCGTGTACGCCCCTAGATCATGCGCACCAAACCTTAGGGATGGTTTAGTAATTTCAGCCAATTTTGACACGCCAGTGAAATTAGGCCAAACCTAAGGTACCCTTTTTAAAAAAAATAAATAAAAAAATCATTATGGGTTTGCTAAAGCATTTTTTCCTTGATGTGTGAGGAGCCCTATATTGACGGTCCCTCATTTTTGTGTTTATGATCTACCCCCAAGATGATACCTTTGTTTGGTTTTAATCACTTTAATAGCTTAAGATTTAAAGCTTAAATCCCTAAATTTCTCCATTCATTGAGTACGTATAACTATCATGTACAAAGTTTTCCAATGTAGTACAATTGTATTCCCAATATTTTTTTTAGTAATTCTATTATTTGCATCTTCACATCCAGTGCCAAGGGTGCAACTCGAGCAGGTTGGAGGTACAACTCGAGCTCAACCCGACATGTGAATGTTCAACCCTAACTCGACCTTCTACCTGAGTTAACCAATCTGAGTCCAACCCATTCATAAAGTTTTTAGTTCGGGTTGGATACGGGCTTGCAACTCGGGCTGAGATTTCAGGTTACGGGTTACCACACTGACTTTCTCAAAAAATCCTGTACCGCACTTACTTTATGCAACTTGTAGAATACTTTCTCATTCTTTTCTGCACTTGGAATGCACATTATCTACCACTAGGCAGAATAATTCAGAAGAGTAAAAAGATGAACCACTGTAACTTTTTCACAACTGAAGTAATTGAAGTTACATAATAACAAATGGAACACTGACTGAACAACCCGACCTGAATTTTTAAATATATATATATATAAATATAAATATTATATTCAAAATAAAAAATATATTAAAAATAAAATCAAAATTCAGGTTCGGGTTGGGCTTGGGTTGCTCACCTCAACCCAAGCCCAATCCTAATTAAGTTCAGGTTGAGATTTTCCAACACAGGCCCAACCCTAATCCTAATCGTAAAAATTATTGCCCAAGCCCATGGAAAATGGGACTGGGCTCAAGTTGGCCTGCCTAAGTTGCACCCCTACATCCAGCAATAAATTCATTCTTCCAGAATATACATCTATTTTAGTTCAGGACTGAAATATATAGTGTTCAAGTATTAATAGTTTATTTGGCTTCCATTAGCATTTCTCAGGTGCAGGGGTGGAGAAATAAAAATTGGGGGGGGGGGGGGGGGGGGTGTTCGGTGTGGGGGCTGGGGGGTTGGGTGTGGGGGCTGGGGGGAACAGAAAACTAGTGATATAAAATAAAAAAATAAAATAATTGGAACCATTTTTTAAAGAGCACATTTATAAATGATATAAATAGACTTCTAACAAGTTTTAACAATGGTTACAATAGTATTTTTTCTTGGAAAATACTTTCATTAACCATAAATATGTAACCATAATAATATTTTTTTTTTTTTAAGTTTGGGGGGCCAGCTTTAATTTCTCTATGCAAAATTACTATTGCTAACCATAAATACATAGTATAAATGAGGGTTGAGAAAAATTTGGTGGGGCCATGGCCCTCCCTCCGCCCCTGCTTAGGTGGAGTTTCTAAATGTGTCAAAAAGTGATTTCTGCAGTTATTTTTACAAAAGAGGTGACATTGCCTCTGATGTTCTTATTTTTTATTGGTCTAATGTTTTGAAAAGGTAACCTGTGGATGTGCAGCTGGAGTCGCTGCTGCTTTCAGAGCTCCAGTTGGTGGTGTGCTATTTGCATTAGAAGAGGTTACATCTTGGTATTCTTTTTCCTTCTTGATTACATCTGCCTTTTTGCATATCATTTGTAAATGAAAATTTATCTTTTTATGTATGTGCTTTTATATGTATCTTAGTACATACAGACACTCATGTAAGTAACCATTTTAGCATATGCACACAATTGAATGTATGTATATGCAAACATTTTTGCTTATAAATTTAAGTCAGTTCATGGCTCATTTATATGAAAGTATATTTAGATAAATTAGCTGGGCATATTCTTATCTGAATATTCAACTGTTAAATGCTATTTTAATTTATATGGATTCACATTTTGTTGTTGAAGGTGGAGGAGTCAACTTATGTGGCGTGTCTTCTTCACTTCTGCTATTGTGGCTGTTGTGGTCCGTACTGCAATGGGGTGGTGTAAGAGTGGAAAGTGTGGACATTTTGGCTCTGGCGGCTTCATAATATGGGACACCTCTGAGTTAGATCCGAACTTTCTTTTGATCTTCTATAATAATCACCCTATTGAGGATTTATAGCTTGCTAACTTCTTTTCTTTTCAGTGGTCAAGAGGATTACTCATTTGAAGAGTTATTGCCAATGGCAATTATTGGTGTTATAGGAGGTCTTCTCGGTAGGTGGTAGTGCACTGAAATATTCTTAATTTCTTACCCAAAATATAGTAAATATATAGAAAGCTTCGATCATATGTTTTGTATTCAATCTTTTCTTTATTTTATTTATTAATTAATTTTTTGCAGGAGCCTTATTCAATCAGCTTACTCTTTACATAACTCACTGGCGTCGAAATTATCTACATTTGAAAGGAAATCGAGTCAAAGTAAGCTTCCTATTGTAGACTTGGAAACTGCAATTGGCTGTGTTGGCTTATGTTTGTCTTTCCACTGATACGATGTTATTTCTTAAGGCTGACCTTTTTGCTCCTCCTTGATATTACAGATTATTGAAGTGTGTCTTATTTCGGTGATTACTTCAATTATTTCCTTTGGATTGCCACTTTTTAGAAAATGCAGTTCCTGCCCTGAACCAGATCTTAGTTCTGGTATTGAATGCCCTCGCCCGCCGGGAATGTATGGGAATTATGTGGATGTAAGATCTGCTGTTGTTCTTTACTGTTCATTTTGGATTATTCCATGGCTATATTTAGTTTCTATTTCGTTCTTACTTTTTATTTAGCTTATACTGTAATGTACTCTGAGCGTAAACTGATAATGCTGCAATTAGTGCGATTTGTGGAAATGCTTATTGGGTGGGGGAGAGATGGTATCCTTTTGGAAGTTTCAATCTTTAGACTGGTTGCATAAACTCTTTGATCTAGCTTGATTGGATGATAATGATTTTGAAACTCCATTTGGGATTGATGTTTTATTTTGCTCAGGGTTTTTTTGCTTTTAAATTGCGTAACTTTCTTCACATCTGTATGTGAGTAATGAGTGTTAGATAGTTATATTTATTGTTAGGTGCATGAAAGAAAGAGTTACCATAAGCAACTTAGATCAACTGGCCTAATGGTACTGTTAAAGGGAGAATTGGAGTACAACTTTAATCTTTAACCAAATGCTATATCCAATGCTTTTAATCATGGATGCTGCCTCAGATGTGTAACAGTCCTGGAGTATATCCGATGTTCTGTAACAGTAGCAGTAACTGTGGTCCTGAAGTTTTCAACCCTCACAAAGTGGGGGCCCAAGTCCGTGATTTTTGGATGCGTTCCCCTTTTGAACGCTTCTTTATACAATCTTTACTTATAAAAAAAAAATGACCTAAACAAGCTGATATAATAATTTTTTTATTTTATTTTTTGGGAAAGCTAATGTAAAGTTTACTCTGGAATAAATATGTGTTTGTCATGATGTTTAGTGGATTAGGATGAATATTTAGGAGTTGATTTGATATGAGATTTGACTTTACATTGTTTTATAATTTTCCAATTTTTTTCTATTAATTTTTATAATTTTCTTATTTTTTCCAAAATATTTAACAAAATTAAAATTGTGTAAAATATATATATATATATTTTTTATTTTTATTTTTATTTATTTTTTATTATTATTTTTTTTCCCTCCTGAATAGGGGGATTTTATAAATAAGAATATACATTAAATTGTGTAAAAATAATTTATATGAAGTATTATGTAGAAAGTATAAGTTAGAACACATACTTTATATAGTGTATAATAATGCATGCATACAAATTTTTATTTTTTTTCGAAATAACTAAATATAAAATTCAAACTATTAATTTATAGAAGTAGCAAACAAAATATACAGAAAGTAATATAAACCACCTAAAAAATTGAAAACTAAAATCTACAACTTTTGTATGATCTATAATATGATGAAGTTAAAGGGTCAAGTGTTTAACACTCATATTTTCATATGGTCATTGTGTTATAGATCACGTACATACTAACTTCATCGTATAATGTATGTACGTGATCTGTAACACAATGACTATATGAAAATATGAGACTTAAACACTTGACCCTTTAAGGAAATTTGACAATAATTGAAAAATTGGTAGATCCGGATATTCTATGCAATATCCAAAAATTAGAGTCTATAGATCTAGAATCAAACAATTTTTTCATGTTAGATCTAAGTGAAAAAATAAAAAATAAAAAATATAGATGTTCGAAAAGATACCAATTGGTTGAAAGGTTGGAGTTCTATGATCCAAATCCTGTACTTTTGGGGGTTTGATTCACAGATATAAGTTTTTGATTGAGTTTATAATTGATAGAGGGCCGTTTTTACCTGTAGGTAACTGATAGAGGGCTGTTACTGAGAAAATTTTGAAGGATGCTACTGTAGCAACTGGGCTGAGTCAGCCCGAGGCACTACCAAGTCAGCAGTGTAATGGGCTCAAGAAGCCAAGTCTGTTACAGCTCGACCGAGTTGCTTTGCGTTGGTTGATTTTTAGAACCTGGGTTATACCTACCTGTTTCCGGGGAATTGAAAACATTTCCTCCATATTCTGCAATTTAAGCACCCTTAAAAATACAGGATTGATTTTGTCAAAAAATATATAATAATAATAATTATAATAATAATACAGGATTGAGTTGAAAGCGATGTTGCACGTGCCTACTCCTTTGACCTTGGTAAATAATGGTTTACTTTTAATTCTATATATATGTATATATATACCACAGCCAAAGTAATGATTTGGTCTACGTTTGATAAGCTACTCTTAGATGAAAAGTTATGGGCCTCAGGTCATATACTTATATTTGGGGGTTCTATGGTTCTCCTTTCCTAGTGGTGAGGATTTTTTTTCCCTCAACTAGATAAGATTTTCTCGAGTTAGCATTTTGTTCCTCAACTGGATCAGATATTCTCTTGAAGTAGTTGTGGGATACGAATAGCAGAAGTGACCTTTCCTGTCCACTCACGAGGTGAGGCTACGCATCGAGGTCTAAGGATTTCTTACATAATGTACTCCATTAATTAAAACTAAAATAATGTAGGATAAAATTAGAGGAAACTAGTAGAATGAGAAAATGAAGTAGCAAAAGATGCATTAGAACTCTTACTGTTGTTGCAGTTTGTTTTCTGAGCTGAAGGATTGAGGTTAGGAAAAGAAAATTATTCAACCATCACTTTTCATAGCTTGTTTATAGTTTGGCAAATGAGACTTCTATTTCATACTTAAGAAGAGCCTAGCATTGAGGTAGAAGGCTGGTGCGTGGTCCAGGTTACTCAATTTTTTAGGTTTTTCATTTTCCCTAAACCTTGACTCAAGGTGTAACCTCATAATAATCCATTTAAAATCTTCCTTCATTTATAATATCTTAAAGTCGTTATCGGTTCTCATATTGTAGCAGAGGTGTCTACTTATGCTTTGGTCATTTATGTTATCGGCTGTTTATTTCATTTCTTTAAAACCTTCAAAGCTACAAATATACTTATGAATCATATGAATTTTTTTATTTTTATTTTTATTTTTATTTTTTCTTATAAGTTTTGAATCCTTTACCCCTTCCCTTATTCTCGAAATTACATTTGATAGATATGTCACTCAAATTTCCATCTGCATCAGCTTTTGGTTATTCTTATTTAAATTCTATGTTATCTGCAGTTTTTTTGTGGCAAGGACAAGGAATATAACGACCTTGCAACTATTTTCTTCAATACTCAGGTTTAGTGAATTTCACTTAGCATCTGTTGTCTCGTGTTTATGTATATAAACATGTCTTTATTATTTCCATCTTCTAATAGATTATGTAATTTTTGTTGCAGGATGATGCCATACGTAATTTGTTTAGTGCAAAAACCATTCATGAGTACAGTGCCCAAACCCTGCTGATTTTTTTGGTAAACACCTATTGAACTGCTTTTCTCTTGTTCAACACCTATTGAACTTCTTTTCTCCTGTTCAAATGCAGAATGATTTTATCTGAAAAAATTCTCAATCAACTAATGACATCTAGTATCATAACTGATATTTTTTCCCCAAGAACGAACATGGTTACTACAGTTAATGATTGATTTTTTAAAAATATTTAAAATTGATATTATTTGTGTAGTGGTTAATAGTTGATATTCTTAAAATTAAAATTGATAATATCCGAAGCGGACAAAATTTATATATATTCTTCTATAGAAGATATGTTATTGTATGGATAATATGTTACATATATTAGAAATGTTTGGCGTAGTCCTTTGAAAAATTAAATGTCACAAAATGTTTGTTTCAGGGAATTGAGCTTGCTGGTTTGTTGCATACATTAAAAGGAAATGTTGTCTTCTTAGATTTCTTGTTAATATGACTACATAGTGTGGGTCGGGGGCTATTTTGGGTTTCATCTCTCTCTCTATGGGTGGGTGGGTGGTTTTTTTTTTTTTTTTTTTTTTGGGGGGGGGGGGGGGGGGGGGGGGAGGGCTGTTAATGGTTTGCTGATGCATTTGTGCGCAAAAGTGATATTATTTGTGAAAAACATGTTAGTAATCTACAAGATCAATGTAATATAGTTACGATCCTGTAGTTTTTATTGTTTGTGAACTTTTTAAAAATCCATTTTTATCCCTCTGGAGTGCTACTATATTACACAAAGACTTAAAGATTGTGTTTTGATGTTTTTATCATGCATTTTTGACAAAGATTCCTAAAAGTTGATGTTTTATCACGCACTTATGACAAAGATTTCTAAAAGTAACTGGTAAAACTAGCTTTTCTTTCCTTCGTTTGGTATAGTACAATTGCATTGCATTTTTGTGCTACAGTTTAGTTGAGTGTTTTTGTTGTGTGTTTCTCAGGTTATGTTTTATTCCTTAGCAGTGGTGACTTTTGGTACCGCCGTTCCAGCTGGTCAATTTGTCCCTGGAATAATGATTGGATCAACATATGGGCGACTTGTTGGCATGTTTGTCGTTAGCTTTTACAAGAAGCTTAACATTGAAGAGGGAACGTGAGCTCCTTACCTCCTTTCTATTTTATTCATTTTATTATTGTTTATTATTATTTTTATGGGTAATGAAGTTTTTTTATTTATTTTATTAGTTTCATGATATTTTCTAAAAATTGTTGAATATTATTTTTGATAAGGAAGATACTAAGAATATAATATTTGGTGAGCATGGAAATGTTGATTTTCAGTTTTACAATGTTTATATATCGGGTCAAAACCCTTGTCGTACAATGGTGAAATTGCCCTCATGGGATCTAATACATCAGCAGAAATGTGAAAATATTTTTGGCATAGTGCAAGAAACTATCAATTTTTGGTAACTAACCCCCTGTATTTCTAGTTTGGAAACAAAGCCCCCTGGACTTACCAAAAATTTTGCAATCCCTCCCCCCTTCCGCAACGGATGATTGTATCGTGGGCATGACTCTTTAGAGGATGAGATTTAAACTTCAAAATGTATAAATTGAAGCAATGGCATTTGTGATTTTTACTTTAAATGGAGCAACAACCCAGTTTTATATGGATCATAAATCGATCCAAGGACATTTTAGTCAATAGAAAGGGTAAAGTAGGAATTTCAAACTGATGTGTCACATGAAATACACGTGATGTCACTTTTGTAACCTTTAGCAAACTGCAGGAGGAATTGCAAATCTTTGGATAAATTTAGGGGAGTTTGTTACTAAATTAGAAGTACAGTGGGGTAAAATGCCAAAAAATGAAATTCGGGTCTTTTTTTGTTTTTTGTGGGCATTTTACCTATATATATATATATATATTATTGAAAGAATGAAAATTTGATAAGACGAGGGTGAGCCTTGGAGCAATGGTTGGGTTGCTTTATTGTGACTTGGAGGTCATGGTTTCAAAATAAGGAATCAGCCTCTCCGTATGTGGAGGTGAGGTTGCGTACATCTAACCCTTTTGTTTTAAAATTTTGATAACATGTACATTTTTTTTTTTTAAATTTTTTTATATAGAAGAGATTATGACGAACAATCAAAATATTATAAAAGGAATGTGTATGTTAATATGATGTATAGGGGTGAATGTTTGCACCGTGAACATTAGAGATTATTACTAAGTCATTTATGTATTAATGTTAGTATCCAAATATTCTATTTAATTTTGTCAAAAACACTTGGTAATATGATGCCCAAGGTTAGGTCTGCTTGGTTTCTGCCCCTCCCAGTACCCTTGATTAACGGGGACCAAACTGGGTAATTTTACTTGGCAATATAACATTTTAAAAAATGTGATGAACTAAGGTTAACGGAACCACACTGGGTACTTTTACTTGGTAATATAAGATCTTTAAGAGAGTAAGGGGTTAAGAGTCAGATTCTTATTGCTTATCAATAAAAGAAAATGTTGATGTATCGGTAATGACGTGATTTTTTTATTTTTTTAAAGAGTGAATATTTAATGAAATGCAGATACATCTCTTGAAACTTTAGGAAATTATAGAAGAGATTATAATGAACAATTTAGAATCAGAATGTTGTAAATGGAACGCTTTTGAAACAATCATGTGATGTATAGGGGTGAAAAGTTTGCATAGCAAGTATTTAGAGAACCTCCCAAAGGAGTCTACATATTAATACTAATATCAAAATACTTCATTTACTTTTCAAATATATAAGAAATACTCAGTAATATAATATAGTTTTTTCCAAAACTTTTGTGTTGAATTTTCCTAAATGATGATTTTTGTGTTGAATTGATTGAACATGAGAGTGAACAGTAATGCATGAGTATTTCTTGATATTCTTTACCTAATGATTCACAGTCACTTCACATTTGTTAGTATTAGATTATATTTTATTTTTATGCATGCTTCTGCTATAGACAGTGGCTATACTGATACTTTCTTCTCATAATACTCCATATGATATAAAAAACCATCTCCCACTGTGAATTGCATCATTTCAACTATGTACCATGCACAATCCTCAATACATAAATCATAATTAAAGTTGTAGTATAGTGGTAGTGAATATGGTAATGCTGAAGTCTTGCTGCACGAACAGAAATGGATGAATGCTACAGAAACATGGTTGAACAAATTAGTTGGATTTTAGATTGTGATTTTGAAGAATATGGTTGGGGCAAAATAAAGATTTTAAAGACAGCTGAGGAGGAGAGAGAGGGATTGTTCTGTTCTGGCTTTAAAGATATAACTTTGAAGCAGAATTTACACAAATATGTGTGTATGTGTGTGTAGAGAGATTGATCTAGTCTAAATGATCTTGTAACTCTTTAAAACTATCTTCACCTTAGAAATGTCAACATGCTTTTGGTGTTTGCGACACTAATTTATAACTGCCACTATGTTAACTCAATTTTCATGAACAAATAAGTTAACTGGTGAATGATTTGATCATGCTTCATAATGAAGATTTTTTTCCCCCTTTATTTCATGTTGATGAAAGGAAAGTGTCCTAGATAATGATTGTGGATCAAGAAACGACCTAGAGGGGTGGATTGGTCCATTCAGCCGTTGATCAATTATCATCTAGTTATTTGATTATTTCCATATTTTTGTCTTAATTGATTTCAATAGTTCAGACCAGGATAGGTCTTGTGTTCAAACGACCTAGAGGGGTGGAATAGGTCCATTCAATATTTTTGTCTTATTTAGAGTAGATGGGTAGTTAACATGGTATCGGACCAGGGTAGTTAACATGGTATCGGACCAGGGTAGGTCCTGTGTTCAAACCTCACTATCGCCCTGATAATTAAAAATTTTAAATACTTGTTGGACCAAAAGGCGGCCATACGTGAGGGGTGTGTTGAAGGATTTATATATTAAAGTTATGCCCTTTCTAACAACTTAAGCTTTTAGAGTAGACTTGCCAATGCTCACAGAAGGGTCAAATCACATTAGGAGAATCCGAGTGGATAGGGAGGTGTTTTGTAAGGAGGAGGAGATATGCAAGGGTATTGCAGATTACTACTCGATGTTGTTCACATAAACTGCTGGTTGGAGACCTTTGCTTGCAGGGCTTCAGTTTGATTCTTTATCAGGTTAGGAGAGCTCTGTTCTGGAGGAGCCGTTTTCTGAAGAAGAAGTTTTTTCTGTGCTGAAGAGCTATAACGGGGATAAATCCCCAGGTCCAGATGGTTTTTCCATGAGATTTCTTTTGGAGTGCTGGGAGGTGGTTCGTGAGGAGGTGATGTGCACTTTTCATGCTTTCCATGCTCAGGGCTCTTTCGAGCTTGAACGCCACGTTTATTGCTCTCATTCCGAAAAAGGGAGGGGCTTTGGATGTTAGGAATTTTCGCCCTATTAGCTTGGTGGGGTGTTTTTACAAGTTGATTGCTAAAGTCCTGGCCTCTAAGTTGAGGAAGGTCTTAGATGGTGTCATCTCTGATTCTCAGAATGCTTTTGTAGCAGGTCGACAAATTTGGATTCAGTTCTTATTGCTAGTGCATGTGTGGATTCCAGATTTAGTAGTGGGAGTCCGGGTGTTTTGTGCAAATTGGACATCGAGAAGGCGTACGATCATGTGAGTTGGAGTTTTCTCCTCTACTTGATGGAGAGGATGGGTTTTGGGGAGCGTTGGAGGAGATAGATCCTGTTTTATATTTCCTGTGCTCGTTTTTCAGTTCTTGTGAATGGAGCTCTGACCGGTTTTTTCTCTAGTTTAAGGGGATCCTATTTCTCCATTCTTGTTCCTCTTTGTGATGGAGGCCCTTAGTAGATTGATTAAGAGGGCTGTTGATTTGGATTTTTTGAGAGGCTTTAGGGTGGGCAGGGGATGCTGCCAGCCAGTTAGAGATTTCCTACTTGATGTTTGCTGATGACAATTTAGTGCTCTGTGATGCTGATGCGGCTCAGTTGAGATATCTGAGATGTGTTTTGGTTTGGTTCCAAGTTGTCTCTCGATTAAAGGTGAATGTTGGTAAGAGTATTCTTGTGCCGGTTGGGGATGTCCCTGAGATTGAGAGGTTTGTCCAGATTCTTGGTTGTCGCACTAGTTCCTTTCCTATTTCTTACTTAGGGTTGCCCCTGGGTGTTGCTTCGAGATGTGTGGGGAGTTGGGGCCGGTCGTGGATAGATTTGAACGAAGGCTGGCGGGTTGGAAGAAGCAGTATCTCTCTAAGGGGGGTCGGATCACTCTGATTAAGAGTACCCTTTCTTGCTTCCCCACTTATTTCATCTCTCTCTTTCACATTCCTTCCTCTGTGGCGGAGAGGATTGAGAGGTTGCAGCACCCGCCGGGGGGGGGGGGGGGGGGGGGTTCGTTGGGAAATGCCTGTAGAGGTTTGGGATGGAGAGGTGGTGGCTCTGGAGGAGGGTTATTACGCATAAATTTGGGGAGAGCAATGGAGGGTGGAGTTCTCTTGTGGTGCGTGGTCCTAGGGGTGTGGGGGTTTGGACTGCCATTCGGAAGGGGTGGGATGATTTCTGCAAGCATGTTCGTTTTCGAATCAAGGATGGTAGGAGGATTATATTGTAGGAGGATCTTTGGTGTGGGGAGCTTCCTCTTGCGCTCGCTTTCCTTCGGCTCTTCAGGATTGCCTCTCATAGGCAGGCTATGGTGATTGACTGTTATCATCCTGATAACGAGAGATTGACTTGGGATGTTCAGTTTAGGAGGCACTTCCAGGATTGGGAGATTGAGGAGGTCACCCGGTTTTGGGAGTTGTTGTACCGTCAGACGATTACAGTTGGAGATCCTGATTGTTGGCTTTGGATTCCTAACCCTCAGAGTCGTTTTGAGGTGAGGTCCTTCTTCAGGTGTCTTACGGTTGGTGCTGGAGGTTTTTTTCCCTTGGAAGTCTATTTGGCGATCCAAGGCTCCTCTTAAGGTGGCTTTCTTTGCTTGGACTTCTGTCTTGGGTAGGATTTTGACTCAGGATAATCTGAGGAGGAGGAATCAGGTGGTGATTAATAGATGTTATTTGTGCTTGCGAGATGAGGAGACTGTTGATCACCTTCTTCTTCATTGCAGCATGGCTAGGGACTGTTGGGATTTGATGATTGGGCTGTTTGGGATCCCTTGGGTTATGCCTGGATCCTCTAGAGGGTTGATTGAGGCTTGGAGAGGATTTTCAATTGGGGCTCTCATCGACGCCTCTGTGCATTTGGTGGTGCATTTGGCTTGAGAGAAATCGGAGATATTTCGATGGAAAGGAAAAGCCTATCTCTATGCTTAAGTTGTTTATTATTTCTACTCTTTTTTGTTGGGTTTAAGGGAGAGATTTTTGATCTGTAGAGAGTTGGTTGTTTTTCTGGCCTCTTTGAAGGCTTGAGGCGCTTTTGGCCTTGTTTTGTCCTTGGGTTTCACTCCCCCTTTGAGTGGTTTCTTTAATAAAAAAGAGTAGATGGTAGTTAACATAGTATCAGAGCCAAAGGTCTTGAGTTCTAACCTCACTGTCACCCTGATAAAAAATTGAAACACGTGTTGAACCAAAAGAAGGCCACATGTGAGGGAGCGTGTTGAAAGATTTAAATATTAAAGTTAGATCCTCTCTAACAGCTTAAGCTTTTAGATTACATGTTAGTTAACATCCATAAATCAATATTCCGTCATGCAAAGAAGTAAATCATTACTACCACTTGAAAATATGATGTTTCTTGACACTCTTCTAAACCTATGTTGTTGACGTTGGTGTTTATCTTCGTTCTTTTTTAGTTTGAAAATTACTTAGACATTTAGTTAAGTTATTTTTTCTACAGTTTTATAGAAACTTACTATCTTTGATCCAAATCCTACGATCCCAATTCTATGGATCCAACATAGAATCCCAATTTTGACAACCTTGATCCTTTGTGACAAACGAATATATAATAGTTTTAAAGAAAAATTCTAAATTTCTAATTGGATGATTATTACGCCAGCTATATTGGATGTAGAAGAGTGTTGGGCATTGAAAAAGAAGCCAGATGTAGCAGAAATGAGGATGCTACGATGTGGTCATGTATAACACAGACCTGAAAAGCAAAGAAAGCCCAGTATATTCCTTAATCAAAATGGGATTGGATAAACTTTTTTTTTTTTTTTGGTATTTTGGAACTCTGTATATATAGGGACCTATTTCTTTAGGATTTTTACAAAAATTGGGCTGCCATGGTCTCCACATGGTTTTTCCCCTGGCTCATATTGTGGGAAATTTTTAAGCATTCGGTTTATTTTCCTAGTTTTGCTAAAATTTATACACATTTAGTGATGCAGAATATACATTGCACTTTTTTAAAAAAAAATAATAAATCCTGATATAAAATTTTCATAGTGCACTATATTTTCTTCATTTTTTCTTTCCTGATTTGTTTTATTCTTTTTATGCATCTTGGTGGAAATTTCAGGTATGCTTTATTGGGAGCTGCTTCTTTTCTTGGAGGTTCCATGCGGATGACTGTTTCACTTTGTGTCATTATGGTTGAAATTACCAATAACTTGAAGCTCTTACCTCTTATCATGCTTGTTCTTCTTATATCAAAGGTTTGTTCTGAAAGTTTTGCACGGTGCACCTAGTTACACAGTGAATGGTGCTAAATTTTTACCCACTTCAGGCTGTTGGTGATGCATTCAATGAAGGCTTGTATGAAGAACAGGCTCGCTTGAGGGGCATTCCGTTACTTGAGTCGAGGCCTAAATACCAAATGCGGAATATGAAGGCAAAGGAGGCCTGTGGTAATCAAAAGGTCAATATCATTCCTTTTTTTTATAATGTGTGAACACCCACTGAAGATGTCTGATCTGAGAACTCTCTCAAAATTACGAGCTTAAAAACCTTAATAAAAATTAAGGTGTCATCTTCTGGGGTTGTGTATTTTCTGCGGCCTTTTTTTATTATTTAAAAAAAATTGGTATCTGTAAGAGTGAAGTTGACTATAACTTTGAAGAAACATGTCAAATTGTGGGTTCTTTGTTGTGTGTGGTTGTTTCCTACATGTTATAGCTTTCTTGTTATCTTCTCTAGCATCCCGATATTTGGCTCAAAGTTTGTCAACTTCCTTATGATAGGTTGTCTACTTCCCTCGCGTTGTTAAGGTTATGGATGTTGTTTCTATGTTGAGAAGCAACAATCACAATGGCTTCCCTGTAAGTTAAGCTTTTCCCTTGCTCTGGTTTTAGTTTAGTGCTCATCTGATCTCTAAGTAATCCTTCATTCTTTTTCCCTGTCCAGGTTATAGATCACTCGAGGAGTGGAGAAACCATAGTCATTGGACTCATGCTTCGCAGGTTGACATAACAATTCCTTTATTTTTATGTAAATGTCATTGTATTCCTAAAGAGTATAATGTTGTATTTTTTCCAATGAAATCTTCAGCGAAATTATTTGAAAATTTTGTCACTCGAGTTTTTGATATATTATGCAGTCATCTGTTGGTACTTCTGCAGTCTAAGGTAGACTTCCAGCATAATCCTTTGCCCTGTGATCCAAGAGGTGGTACATTGCCAATCAGGTATGTAAAGACTTGGTAGTAGTTTTATCATTGCCTATTCATTGATGTCCTGAAAATCCAATGGATCTTTTGAATTCCAGGCACAACTTCAGCGAATTTGTGAAACCTGTTTCCAGTAAAGGAATATGCATTGATGATATTCATTTAAGTCCAGATGACCTGGAAATGTACATAGATCTTGCCCCATTTGTGAACCCCTCCCCATATATAGTCTCTGAAGACATGTCTTTAACAAAGGTGACAATTTCAGATGTATTATTCTATAGCTGTCATTTTGCTTATGATCATCTTACTTGCATGTAAGGTAAGCTGTATGTCTTTCAACTATTATCTGATGGAATGTTGCATTTTGCTGATGGAACAGGTGTATAATCTTTTCCGCCAATTAGGATTGAGGCATATATTTGTTGTTCCTCGTGCTTCTCGTGTTCTTGGCATGCTTACCAGAAAAGATTTGTTAATTGAGGTATTTCAGTTGCACTAGCTCTCAATTTAACCAGACATCCCTGGACTCTGTAATGATAGAAGTTGATATCTGTATTGTAGGATAATGAGGATTCGACTGCTGTAGAACTTCAATCGACCAGTGTAAGGTCTCTATGCTGCTTTATTCATATATTTCTGTGAACTCTCTTACTTGTCCATGGAAATTATGAATTTGATTTATTGCGAGCTAATTGTTGCTTACATTGATAAATTCTTTACATTAACTCTCTCTCTCTCTTCTATAAGTTACTTCATCAAATTTATTTATTTATTTTTATTAAGATTGGGTTTTGGCTGAAGGGCACAAAACCCATTCCAATAATTTATTTATTTTATCCCAATGAACACGGATAATTGTATAATGGAATATGAGGATGCAGTAAGGCTGCTTGTAAGTCTTAGTTTAGTTTAGTTTTATTATTATTTTTTTATATGGTTATTGAAAATACTCAATTGATTAAATGTTGAACACCTGATTATTTAGTATAATAGTATTATACGTCGAGTTCCACTGTGACTTCTGTGCAGTTTCTTTTCTCGTCAAAGAGTCATTCCTCCCTCACTGAAGCACTTGTAGCTTTAGCTCCTCAAATTGTCAAAACTGTAGCAATGCTACGCTTCTTCCCATCAAATAGGAAAAGATAATAATGTAGCAATGCTCAATACTGTGGACCTTGAACCATTAAAATTTATTCAGTTCCTAGGCCCTCATCCAAAATATTTTTGTTGACAGATCTCGGCGGACTGACAAAAGAGTGATTTCGAGGAATGCAGATGCAGAGCTCCCACTCCTTGGTCTTCTGGGTCAAGACTCCAGCTGACCTTGCTGTCCGGTCGACTGACTAATTCTTTATTCTGGTTCCTCCAATCTTTTTTGGTTCCCCTTCTTTTTTTCTTTTTTTTCTTTTTATTTTTTTTGTTTAAGTTGAAATCTATTTTCTTTTCATACATATCAGGGGGTTATGAACCGAGAGAACCTTGATTCTTGTATTTTATATGGTCATACAAGGAAAAGATATAAAGCATAGTGGAATGGTGGAGAAAATTGTTGCCTGACACGATATATGGTATTTGCTTATTTATTTATTTTTTTTTTCGGTCGAGTTAAAATAGGAAAGAGAAGGCAAAGAAATGGTCAAATGTCTGCTGAGTCGGGAATTTTGACTAACCTCCAATGTTCGATCATTTGTTAAAGAAACTAAAACTCACAAAACATTAGGTTTGTGCTCTTAGTGAAGTTCAGTGTAAAGAATGACTTATTTTAGGAGGATTGGAATTCCTTTTACACCATATGAAGGGAGTCTAGGCGGCGTTAGCAATGGTTTTCAAAAGTAGCACTGTTCTAAAGTAAAAAGCTAAATAAGTCTCGATCGATTCCTTAGTAATCTATTATAATCTAAGTATACGGCTAATTGAATCAAACTCTAACAGAGACCATTTGTTATTAATACTGACTTCTAAAAAGTAGAAGTGTTTCTTAATGGGATGATAATCAGAAATAAAATCTATTTTATGATTTTAGATGTAGGTGACAAGATGGAAATAACGGAACAAATACAAATTTTTTTTTTTTTTTTTTCAAGTGATAAAGCTTCACTATGCCAAGTCATTTAACCGTTCAAACACATCAGAGACGATAACAAATTGATTATTATGATTTGACGGGGGTTGCACGGAAAATTTGGCCATGGTAGCATCTTTAGCCAGCCCTTACATAACTTCCTCCCCAACTCGTTCATTCAAAGGACCGCAAGGGAGCTAATTGTCAAACCATAAAGATGTGCCGCTTCAACTCATACATAACTCTTGGGGATAATTGCGCTGACACCCTTCGTTTCAAATGATATATTTGTCCTTAATTATTTAATTCAATTAATTCACAAAAATATCACTCCTTTTAATTGACAAAACTACTAATCCTCACTCTTTACCTAAATCTCTTTACCTTCTTCTTTTTTTTTTTTTTTTTTTTTTTTTTTTGGATTGCTTTTTGTTTACCTACCAGCTCTCTCTCTCCATTGTTAATCTTCTCTCTCCCTTCCGGTACATCACCCAAATTGGTCCAAAGGTGTCACCTTTTGCTCCAATATTACCACTCGTTTCTTGTTGCTAAAAAGCTCTAATCTCATGGTGACGTGATCGTGGCTGGTGACGCCAAGGATGTCGGCAACGTCTTGCGCGGAGCACAGATAGACACCCCTAAAATTGAAGAAAATTTGTCCGTAGTTAGGCGGAGATGAATGGGCCGTGGAGCAAGGTGGTTGGTGAATCAGCGGTAGGATTTCTTGACTAGGTGAGTACATCTGCGGTGAATGTGTGAGGCTTCCTCACACGAGTGTTATCGGAAAGACCGATCCAATACTAAAATATTATATACCAGAACGCGGCTTTTTCGTACCTCTACTTTACTACTACTTCGACAAGTTCATATGGGTTGGGTTGGAAGCCCAATTGAGAGGGGCGACTAGGCAAGTCCCCAGAATTTGGGGGAAAACATGGTGACGTGCTGGTGGTGGGTTTATTTTTTGGGTAGTGTCTAGGTTTGTCATGGTTGTTTGCAATTTTTTTTTTCCTACTGTGGGGGTGGTGGTGTAGTTGTGGTGGTTATGGTGGTGTCCAGGTTATTTGGTGTTTTAATTAATTAATTAATTTTATTTTTTTTTTTTTTTTTTTTTTTTTTTTTTTTTTTTCTGTTATGGTGATTGTGTTGTTTCGGTGTAGTGTGGGTGGCAGTGGTGGTTCTGGTGTAGTGAAGCTGGTGGTTATGTGAGTGTTTCAATTTTTTATTTTTATTTTTTTCTGTTGTAGTGGTGGTGTTGTTTCAGTGTGGTGTGGGTCACAGTGATGGTTTTGGTGTAGTGGTGGTGGTGGTTCTATTGTGTTGGTGTAAATTAGGATTAAAGATAGAAAGATTAATGCGATTGACCAAATAAAGGGTCAATTAGTTATATTAAAATTAGTTAGAAAGGGCATCCAGGTCATTTCAAAATTAAAAAGTAATTATTGACTTGTCAAAGGTCATTTAAATCTTTTTGTTGGTCAGGAGGGATGTGGATGCAAGATTTTAAAAGCTCTGGAGGTGTTATTGTCCAAAAAAAATTAATCAGCCGCTGAGTGACATTGACCAATACCTCAAGGGGTGTAGTGCAATTAACCTTAAGTTTCATCACTACAACAAATATTGGTATTGGGAATGTATGCTTAGCGATGAAATCAAATTTGTTGCAAAAGATGGTAATTCTTAATTTGTTGCCTAATGTTTAACTTTTTGCAACAAACTTGCACATTCGTCGCCTAATGTGTACTTTTTTGCAACAAAATATAAGTGTTGCAAAATGTTGTTGCAAAATCTCATGTGGGACCCTCTGAAACTGTATTTAGCAACAAAATATAGTTTGTTGCAATAGCTTAGACTTAAGCAACAATAATTTTGTTGCAAATTACATCATTTTAAATGGACAAAAATAGTTTGTTGCCAATGCTTAAGTTTTGCGACAACTATTGTATTTGTTGCCAAATGAGAACAAATATAGTTTTGTTGCAAATAAATCTATATTTAGCAACAAAATAGATATTGTTTCAAATTGTTCTATTTTTAGCAACAAAAAAAAAGTGACAAATTTTGGAGAAATAGTGACAAATTATTTGTCGCTAATTGTCATATCTTTAGCAACAAGGGATTTTTTGTTGCAATAGATAAGACTTTTTGCAACATTTTTTTGTAGCATAACCTTCTGTGACGAGCTTTTGGGGACGACCTCGCAACAAATTTTTTTTTATTGCTAAAAAGGTTGAGTAATGATACTATGACCAACCCATATAGTTGATTTATAATCCGAATACGCCACGTTAGAGATAGGTATGCACTATCGCTCTCTCTCCTCGATTCCCCTCTGTTACAATTTCCGTTTCTACCTTCTATTATTTTTCAAATACAATTGGATCTTTCTCTATCTCCAAATCTTTGTAACCATGTTGAAAGAGAAAGATCTTTCATATTATGGCGTTCTTCGTCCAAAATCAAATAGCACACAGTTGTGACAAAAATAGTGTGTATGTGTGTGTGTGTATATATATATATCAAAACATTAAACATGTAAACTCATCCGTCTATAGTCTATACAAACCTTCACCTTTCAAAATTGATATAAACACAATCAGACATCAACTATTACGTACGATCTATTTCTACCTGTCGTAAAAATAAATGGAAGCGAATGAGCGGCTTGTTGCAATTTCTTGAACGCCATTGACTTCTCTAGCTCAATGATCTGATTACCATCCAAAATCAGATGGAAAAACAAATTTTCAGAGAAAAGTGTTTATATTAAGGGATTTTGCGATGTCTTGACGGTTTCTAACCAAAACCAGCAAAATTTGGGAATTCTGACTCCCAAGAGCTGAATTTTGGTTATATCTGTAATTATTTCAAGTTGGGTTTTCTATAAAAAGAGGTTTCTTGAAAAAAAAATTACTGAATTCATTTGACTAAGTGAACAAAGGAAAAAAATAAATTCAGTTGATCAAAGAAAAAAGAATAATAAATGGATATATATATCAATTTTCTACAATTGAATGAGATAGATCACAGAGGACAATGGAGGAGAGAGAGAGAGAGCTCCTATAATTGTTGGAGAAGTGTTCTTTTTTTAACTTTTCTTTTTTTTTTTTTTTCTTTTTTGAGAATGACCTGGCAGTTACACGTTGGATTAAGACAATTTGTAGGCCTCAAGGGTAGGACTCATTATTCAAATGTTTTTGCAACAACTTTTGTGTTTAGGGATAAATTTTTGTTGCAAAACATCAAATTTCTTGTAGTGCATATCTTCCAAAATCTTTAAGTAGTTGGCCTTTATTAATTTTATTTTCCTTATTCAACTTAAATAACTTTATACAGATGTAATATTCTTGGCAATTGAACCAGGATCTTCTCCTGTATCATTTATGTCTTCTGCCCAATGCAACAACTTTACATCGTGAAAATAATAACTTTAAATTGACAATTCAACAATGTCAATATGTTAAATTCTTGATTTAATGATGTTACAATGTTGCAACACAATATGATATATTATATGGGTATTATATTTTCAATGAAATACCCCAAATCCCATAATCCAGTGCATTAAGCAAATAGATTGTAATGACCCGGTCATTTTCCTTCCTTTTCTTTTTCTCCATTTTTGCGGGTTAATTTTTTTCGTTGAAATTTCCTTTTATGTAACCTCAGTCTTCATGCTTGAAGTTGGTTTTTGACTTCACGTACTTCCATTCTAGTTGGTTTCCTTGAAAGGCATAACTTTACTTTTGGAGAAAAGCTCGCCGATTGTTTCTTTTTCCCGCATGGACGTGGATGAAGAGATTCTTTAGAAACATTTTTTGTTTCTTAGGGTATTTTTCATAAATATCTTTTGAAGATATTTTGATTTAGGGGTTTTTAAGAAAATATTATCTTTTGGAAGATATTTTCATTCTGAGCAGTTTTGCATTTATCCCTTTTTGTAAGGTCGTTGAGCAATTAACGAAAGTTATTGCAAAATGCCTCATTTTGAGTCTGGATCCTCGTATAGGATTCATTTTCATATTTCTTCGAGTCGTGAACTCTTAGGATTGGCTGTTGGTCATTCCTTGCAGTTTTTGGGTTTTCAGCCCCGGTTAGCGGCGAACTTGTTCGGAGCATATCTCTTTGCACGTGACTCGATTTTCGAAGTTGTTTCTTCCGTTATTCATTTTTTTTCATTTTATTTTTTTTTCATTCACGGTGTTTTACCGTTTGAGCGCGTCTGCTCAAATTTCACTTTTTCAAACCCGGCGGAGCCCTTTCGGGTCACTTTTAGGGTTTTACTAAATTAAAACATTTCTTTTTTCCTCATTTCTTGGCCGGTAGACATGGCAGCCCAAGGGACTGCCACATTCTTTTTTTCTTTTGCACCTTCTTCCCTCGTGTAAGATGTCGTAATGCCTTAGCGTTTATCGTAGGCCTTGGCAAGGCGTACCTTTCCCCCTTATTAGAAGCCGATTCCGACTATTTTTGAGTTCGGGTTTGGATTTTCATAGTGCCTCAAAGATTAAAGTTGCTTCCCTCGTTGTCCCCAATATAACCTTGGAGTATCGTCGGATTTGGAGCGTTTTCGTTTCGGGTCATCTTACGGGTCATCACAGAACGCACTGACTTGAAAAACCAAAGCCGTCACAAGTGGTATCAGAGCTCCTAGGTTCGAAAACCTTAGGAAAACGGGTTTTGGGTGCATATCATGCTTGTGTTGTCATGCTCTATGTTTTTAGTTGCTTCTTGATAACATGTTTACGTGCTTATGTAGACGTATGTTTAGAAGTTTACTTTAACTGTTTTAGCATATTGTATGTGTTTGTTTGCATGAGTACATTGTATATGCCTATTTGCTTTAGCGTATTGTATGTACTTGTTTGCCTTAGCATACCGTATATGCTTGTAGGCTTCAGTACATTGTATATGCTTGGTTGTCTTAGCTTGTTATTTTACACTTGTTTGCTTAGCATGTTGGATATGTTTGTTTGCCTTAGCGTGTTATATGTGTTTATTCATCTTAGCATGACTGTATGATGCATACATTAACATGCCTTATGTGATTCCTTACTACTTGTGTAAGTATGTAGTCCGTTACTATGTTACTTGGTAACTGTTTATTTTATGTCTTGTTTGGGCATTGTGTGGGTTGTTCCAGTTTGGTTGGTAGAGATTGATGTTAGGGTATAGTCTCTTGGAGTCCATTGTATCCCTTGGATACATTCTTCTCTTGCAGAGTTTCTTCTTTGGGTAGGAGGAATTCTTTCTGTAGGGACCCCAAGTCGGGGAACCTTCTTGTTTGTTTTGTTAGTTTGGGTGTTTTAAGACCTTAGTTTGACGGTTGATGCGAATAAGGCTCACGTGAGCGTAGGGTCGCAGTCTTTGCCTAGTGGAATGCGACGTGGGCCAGGGAGGCACTGTTTCGTCTCCTTTTCCTTCATAGCTTTACGACGTGGTCGGGGAGTGTCTAGAGTGTTGGTATCATCTCTTGGGGTTTTGTGGTGACCTTGATGTGATGACGTCATTGGGGTCTTGTTTCTAGCGTCATGGGACGATGAGTCGGGATTGACTCGAGTCCTTCCTTGGGGATTGGGAGGTTTGTTTTCGTAAGCCTCAACGGCGAGGTTCTCGTATCTCTTTTTCTTAGAGTGACGGTTGGAGATTTAATAGGTGCGTTGACCTAGGATTCTTTTTGTCTTGCCTTGGACAGTTCTTACAAGCTAAGGTTGGGGTGTGAGTGTTTCTGCGTAATTAATTGCATTGGTGCAATTAATTACTCTCCCTCGTCCTTGAAGACTTGGGATTTCGTGTTAGGGTTCCGATAGGATCCTGTAGAATTCTCATCGAACTCATCGACGTCTTGAAAGGTGTTCGCTTGTTGGCGTCTCGTGATGGCTAGTATTGGGACTATCCGTTACCTCGTCATTTGTTTTGTGTGGCGTTAGGATTCCACCTTGTGTTTGAGCCAATCTTGGAAAAGACTTGTAGACTCTTTGTTTCAGGGACCTTAGTGTTCATTCTAGGAGATGATTCATTTCCTTGCGGTGAGGGATTGGACTCATCCGGGTTTTTAGGCTTCACTTTCAGTGAGTTCGTCTTTTTGAGAGGCATTTCATTCCTTCTTGTCATTGTTTTGTGGGATTGTTAATTGTATAGTCATTCTTACATGTTTATATGCTTTGTTATTTTGAGCATGCCTTAGAAACATATTTAGGGGATGTGACTATTTGGTAGTTATGTGCTGATATAAATAATGTGTTTTCCATATACCATATCTGTTTAACATGCTGGTGTCATAGGTGATGTGTAGCGTGTCTCTGATGCTTGACCCCTATATGATAGGTAGCATATTTAATTGCCCTTGTACACTATGTGTTTAGTTGTTTGGTACAAGGAGTTTCATTTACACTTAGTATACTTGTACCTAGTGTGCTTGCACGTTGTATATTTCACCTTGTTTTAGTATAGTATACTTGAGTCTATATACTTGTATATTATGAATTTAGTACTATTTAATATACTTGTGAATGTATACTTATATATATATATATATTGCGTTTCCGTTTCGATTTTGCTTAGTATACTTGTGTATACTTGTATATATATATGTTCTGTGACTAATTGTTTTAATTAGTTCATTCCGTTATCATTCTAGAACTGCACTTGAGATTGTCAGTTTTTCTAGCATTGATGATTTAAGGCCTTAAGTGCAGCGTTGCCTATGATATTATTGTCAGAGTTTTGGATTGGCCAGAATGGTCCGGCCGAACATCTTTGGACCATATCGCAACTCTCACAGAATGCTTGGTTCCCGTGGTGCTTTTGGTGACGATCATTTGGCATTGATGTCATTTGTATCGATAGGTTTCATGAGTAAGCTTGTTAAGGGCAGATGAAGAATTAAGGCTTTATACTGTCATGCTACCATACAGGTTGTGTGTAGGCGAGTGCTAGTTGCCGTTGATGCTACCTTGCATTACCTAACTAGTAATGCAAGTGTGGGCGGGCACTTGATGCTGTCGATGCTACCGTACCTTGGGTACGTTGTGGGCGGGTTCTAGTAACTATTTGTGCTGCCATGTCACTTCTGATTGTGTTCCTTATTTCGACGTCTTGTTACCTTGGTCTCCCATGGGGTGGTTGACATTGCGTTAGTATATCAACTCGTTGGAGAGGTGTCTCACGGTTAGATGTAATATTCTTGGCAATTGAACCAAGATCTTCTCCTGTATCATTTATGTCTTCTGCCCAATGCAACAACTTTACATCGTGAAAATAATAACTTTAAATTGACAATTCAACAATGTCAATATGTTAAATTCTTGATTTAATGATATTACAATGTTACAACATAATATGATATATTGCATGGGTATTATATTTTCAATGTAATACCCCAAATCCCATAATCCAGTGCATTAAGCAAGTAGATTGTAATGACCCGGTCATTTTCCTTCCTTTCATTTTTCTCCATTTTTGCCGGTTAATTTTTTTTGTTGAAATTTCCTTTCGCGTAACCTCACTCTTCGTGTTTGGAGTTGATTTTTGACTTCACGTACTTTCATTCTAGTTGGTTTTCTTGAAAGTCGTAACTTTACTTTTGGAGAAAAACTCGCCGGTTGTTTCTTTTTCCCGCAGGGGCGTGGATGAAGAGATTCTTCAGAAACATTTTTTGTTTCTTGGGGTATTTTTCATAAATATCTTTTTAAGATATTTTGATTTAGAGGTTTTTTAAAAAATATCTTTTGGAAGATATTTTCATTCTGGACAGTTTTGCAGTTATCCCTTTTTATAGGGGTCATTAAGCAATTAACGAAATTTATTACAAAATGCCTCGTTTTGAGTCTAGATTCTCGTACGGGATTCATATTTCGTTGAGTCATGAACTCTTAGGATTGGCTGCTGGTCATTCCTTGCAGTTTTTGGGTTTTTGGCCCCGGTTAGCGCCGAACTTGTTCGGGGCATATCTCTCTACACGGGACTCGATTTTCGACGTCGTTTCTACCGTTGTTCATTTTTTTTCATTTTTTGTTTTTTTTTGTTCACGGTGTTTTGCCATTTGAGTGCGTCTGCTCAAATTCTACTTTTTCAGACCTGGCGGGGCCTTTTCGGGTCACTTTTAGGGTTTTACTATAAATAGGGAGTGATAAAATTAAAACATTTCATTTCCCTTCTTCCTCCCCTCTTGGCCGGCAAACATGGCAGCCCAAGGGGCTGCCACCTTCTTTTCTTCTTTTGCACCTTCTTCCCTCGTGTAAAATGTCGTAGTGCCTTAGCGTTTATCGTAGGTCTTAGCGAGGCGCACCTTTCCCCCTTATTAGAAGCCAATTCCGACCATTTTTGAGTTCGGGTTTGGATTTTCATGGTGCCTCAAAGGTTAAAGTTGTTTCACTCGTTGTCCCCGACATAACCTATGAGTATCGTCGGATTCGGAGTGTTTTCATTTCGGGTCATCACATGATATACTGGCTTGAAAAACTAGGACCGTCACATAGATGCAAACCCTACCCGAAAACCCGGGCAACAAATGCAGAAGCTAATGTAAAAGGTCATAATGCGGAAGCTAAGGGTGAAATGGTTATTTTATGAAAAATATAGAGGATGGGGTATTCACCATTTGAAAGCTAGCTCAAAACCTTACAATTTACGCTCAAGAATAATGTAATTCGGGTTTAAAACGAAAGAGAGATGACCATTTAAAGAAAGAGGAACAAATATACAAGAGCATTGAGAAAAATGCAAGAACTCAAAAAGAAAATGCTCGAGCACAAATGGGGATGTGGTAAATAAATTTCTCAAGGAAAGTACAATGCTTGAGCTCTCAAGCCAATGCTAGAGTTTTGAGGAAAAAATGCCCGAGCATTGAAAAAAATTACTCGAGTTTTGAGGGTAATGCTCAAGTATTGAGAAGAATGCTCGAGCTTTAAGCCCCAGAAAGTGCAAAACATGCTTGAAATAATTCCTAAGCTCATGGGCACCTCCTTGGTACCTAACAATGCTATGTACTATGTAAAATCCACCCCCAACCTCATAAAACATAAACCATGGCATTAACATCGTGAATCAAAGTATGTGCATGCAAATACTCATACAAGTGTGCAATTAATGATGAGAAACATATACATTGACATAAAAATAGCCTCGTGGCCTCATTAAATAATTTATATAAAATGAACCATACATTTCAAGTGAGTTTACACTTAATCAAATATACGTCTTACCTTGAATTATAATATCCAAATTAGTTACAACATAAGATGGCAACAGATATACATATACATCTTCCAAAAACAAATATGAGAAGCGTCGTTTTTAAGAGCCTTGCCTTAACCTGAAAGGGGAATCAACGAGGGGCGAGCTTACAATGCTCAGTAGGAACTATGCTAGATATGTACACATATTATATTCCTTTGACCTCACAAGAGTAGCACATGTCAACAATACAATGGGATATGCTCCCTAACGTTTAATTCTAGGAAAAATCCTAAAAGTATCATCCTAAGCTACCAATTGTGCTTAGACATATCCATATCATTATATGAATCTCAATATGAATACACAACATCCATTTCATTACTAGTAGGCATATAATAGCAAACGAAATACAACAAATACTTAAGTCACAATTACACAAGGATGCCAACTTGAAACAAAACCGAGTGTCGAAAATAACACAATAAGTCAAGTTGCAACTATACATAGATGCCAACTTAAAAATTAACAAAGAAAAGGGATATCTCATCACACACGCACCCCTCGGTCGCACATATTGTGTGAAGTGGTAAAATGGTTCTTCTGGAATAAGACTACCGGCAACCAACCGTAGTTATTTTCGGACTATTAATCCGAAGGGAACCACCAAAATGGCCACTATAAAGTTGGAACGCTTGAGCTCGCCTACTAGAGCCAAACCCTAGTTGTCACAGATCAATCTGTTCAACAAAATCCTCAAGAATGTCCCAAAATAATCAATAAATTCCATAAGTAGCTGATTGCCAACCTCTTCTTGACAAAATCACAGCAAGGATTAATCATTGGTTCTCTAGGATCCTTTCTTATGCATGCAGATTAGTGCTCACTAAGTCAATTCTTATCTCAACTCAAATGCATTTATCCAGTATTTTTATATTGCCAATGAAGATCATTAATGACATCATTGATATCTTAAGAAGGTTTTTATGGACTAAAGTTGATCTTACAAAGAGAGGGTCTAGGGTTGATTGGTCCAAAGTTTGCAAGCCTAAAGCAAATGGTGGATTGGGTCTTCTAAATCTTGGTTAGGCGAATAGAGCTACTATCCTTAGGCATATACGGGAGCTGCATACAGGGGGAAAGTAAAGAATTGGGTATATTAGAGCAGGACTTGTTCATGGATGGTTGCTTCTGGACAATGAAGGCTCCACAATCTTGTTCATGGAACTAGAGGAAGATTTTACAGTTAAGGTCTCTTGCCAAACAACTTCTTATTCATCAGGTGAAGAATGGTAATAGTACTCACTTCTGGACTGATCATTGGCTCAATATTGGGCCTCTCACACAGCGTTTCTCGGAGAATGACATCAAAGCAATGGGATATAACTTCAATACTAAAGTCAGTCAATTTATTGACTCAAATACTTGGATATTCCCTAACTAGCTCACATCGATCATACCTGAGCTTACTGGCCTTCCTCCTCCATCACAATCCAAGGACCTAATCATATAGAGTGCGGGTATTCGCTCAAGCATACAATTACTGCATTATCTCCACCCCCATCTCATATCCCATGGTTCAAACTTGTATGGTCTTCAATTGCCATTTCTCATAAAAGGATGATACTCTGAATAGCAGTGCAATCAAAGCTTCCAACCCCTGATAGCAAGTGTATGAGTAATAGCGAATTGGGTAACATGTGCATTCTTTGCTCAGCTCTTCCTGAATCGCACTCCCATATATTTTTTAAGTGTGAATTTGTCTCACCATTATGGAAATTCATCTAAGACAAATGTCGATTTTACACACTGAGTATCAACTGGGGTCAATTTGTTAACTGGGCCTGTTAGCATTGGAATCAAGACACCATTGTAGATGGGGTATGTAGACTTGCCTTTGCTATTTTTATATACCACATTTGGCAAGAGCGAAATAATAAACTTTACAGGAGCTTGCCGTCATCGTAATCGAGGGTTCTGAGGTTGATTACATCCTCCATTGCAGAATCTCTTAAAGCTTCAAAGAACCCCTCCTTCTCTGCCCTAGCTGTTGAATGGGTCCTCTCGCCAACGGCTGATCATCCACCACCGATGCCTTCAGACTGAATTGAGATGGCGAGGGATAGAACTTGCCCTAATCGCTACTGCTGGTCCGTCAACGGAGTTGCACTGAACATCCATCGCTAACAATTTTCATATTCATTATCCATGGCTATTCACGGGTCTTCTCTCTGTACCTGATACATGCTGCAACTAGATGTATTAGTTTTTTTGGGCTTGTGTGTTAGTTTGTTGGGCTTGCTTGTTGCTCTTATGGGCCACAGTGTACAATATTTTATATATATATATATATATATATATATATATATATATATAGAATTGTTTAACTATTCCAAAAAAAAAAAATTATCGATCAAGTCAAATTCCAAAAATCTCACCAAGTATTTTTTTAATTCATACTAATATTATTATATTCTGACAAGTTTCTTGTTAGATCGATCAAAAGCTAGAAAAATACCAATATCAAGGTCGACATACCAAGATGAAACTTGTGACTTCCTTCATAAACCTAATTACACACAACTCACAAATACCAAAGGAAAATAAAATTGAAACGCCAAATTGAAATGCCAGAAAAATAAAATTGAACTACCCAAATTGAAACGCTAGAAAATAAAAGCACATACATACACACACGTACAGAGAGAGAAAGGGATATGAACAGAAATGAGATAAAAAAGGACAAAAAATTTTGCATTAACAATAACTATATCTATATAATTTCAACTATATGTGTGTGTGTGTGTGTGTATAATTTCAACTATATATACACACACAGACACACGTACAAACTTCAAATACATAGAAAGTTAGGGTTTCATACAAAATTAACTTCAATCCCCAATTAAATAATGAATTCCAAAAAAAAAAATGGAGCAATGCTTGTGAAATTTACCCACGAGTGGACAAAAATGAAGATAGCAGCGATGAACGTTGGCTTGTTTTGACGAATCAGATGTCGAGTTGGCTCCTAAATCAAATAGCACAACTGAATATATCTCAAATGTAAATGAATCTTTTCGATTGAAAATTTTCCAAACAGAGAAGATATATGCTTAAATAGAGTGAGAAAAACTCGTAAGCATAGAGTTCACGGTCTGATTTTGGGAGATCAAATGTAAATCAAGCTCTCCATTGAAAAACTTAGCAAACAAAGAGAAGAAATCCACACAGAAATAGTGAGAAAATTCGTAATATTAGGGTTTAGAGTATGATTTTAAGAGCCACAATGATGAGACAAGCGAGAAGCCAGTGTGGAGCTAGAGATCAGAGAGAGGAACAAGGGTAAAGAGAGAAAGTGATGAGCGATTAGGAGTGGGGGTAGAAAGAGAAAGTGAGAACCGATGGACAAATAAGAAATGAATAAGGAAAAATTACATATAAATGGAGTCAAAGTTCCATATTTACTTAGAGACTGAGTCAAAGTTCCATATTTCTCTAAAATGGATTGCTGAGGTGGCACATGGTTTTTTACTGTTTAAAAAATTGTGGTGCCTAAAATGCCCTTCCCTAACAAAAAAGTAGTACCTTTAGTTCAAAAAAGTAGTACCTTCAGTTCAAAAAAGTAGTACCTTCGGAGAAAAAGTAGTACCTTCGCGGGTGTTTAAAAAACATGGTACCTGGACACCAAAAAGTAGTACCTTCAGTTCAAAAAAGTAGTACCTTCGAAGAAAAAGTAGTACCTTCGTGGAAGGGTATTTTAAGCACCACAATTTCTAAACAGTAAAAAATCATGTGCCAACTCAGCAATCCATTTTAGAGAAATATGGAACTTTGACTCAGCCTCTAAGTAAATATGGAACTTTGATTCCATTTATACGTAATTTTCCCAATGAATAATGAAAAATAAAAATAAAAAATGGGCTCATGTTGTACAACAGTTAAGTGCGGCATTTATTAAAAATGATGTTACAAACATATAAATAGCAGCATTAATATTTTTTAAAAACTACTGTTAAAATTTTGCCACCACAACAGTATTTTGTTGTAGTGTTTTTCAATACAGATTCATTCTCATCTCTATTTACATAATCGGTTATCCAAAAGAGTGAGGATATTTGTCATCCCTATATGTAGTGGTTGCTATAATACACCTACAACAATATATATATATAACAAAATTACATGTCAATTTCTAAAAAGAAATCATAATTGAGAAACCTTTTTCTATTTGTTTAGGGTAAAATATTTGAAAGATTTAGTAGTTTAGAAATTAAATGAAAACAGATTTTAAAGTAGAACTTATTGGTTCTATTGAAATTTTTTAGAATTTACTTGTCTTTTTAAAGCAAAAAAAATAGGACTTAATGATAATTTTCTCACAAGAATGGCATAATCTTATATGATACAATATTTTTTTTCAATGACAAGAAATCTTATATGATACAATTAGAAACCTTCAATAGTAAGTAGCGAGTGAGTGACAAATCCTCTTCTTTTTTGTTTATTATTTATTATTCCCACTCCGTTACTGTAAATCAACAATGATAAAAACACAGACTAACAAATGTGATAACTCATTTCGGGGTCAAGAAACTCAAAAAAAAATTCCACACAAAATCCTCAAACCTAATTCTAATAAATGGACCAACACGTCATGATTGTCTCTAGACTTTTTAAATATACGAAGAATTTAGTCCATGGAGATCCTACTTGCAAGTGACTCTAATTATAAACATTAATTTTCTCCTAAAATAAAGCATAAACGTCAATAGTCTTCCTCAATTCCACAAAACCAAATGTTTTTATTTTTCCTCAGTCCAACACCTTCCCAAATTTAGAATGTCCTCAGTTCCACAAATCCAAGTGTTTTTTTTGTTTTTGTTTTTATGTCATCCCAAATTAAGAAACCCCCAAATTAGTAAAATGGACACTTCAAATGTTTCCCATTCCACATCTCAAAACATTATTTTACCTCTCAATTCATAGGAACAAAAAGTGTAGAGCAAGAGAGTGAGAATATATAATTAAACAACCATCACCACTACCATTTCCTATGAATGTTATAATTAGGGTTTGCAAATTAAGATGGCAGCCACTGACAGTAGTTACACATATTTCAGATCCAAAATCACTTTCTATGTTGTAGCATGTTGGATTCTTGCAGCCTTTGGAGGCCTTATGTTTGGTTATGATATTGGAATTTCAGGTACTATATATTTTTATTATTCAAGGCCGTCCCCTCTCATACAATTCTGAGTCTATTACTGACATCCGTGCAGGTTTAGGCATTGTAATTTCATAATTTCATTTGTATCGAAGTATAAATTATATGGTGCACATGATCAAGTAAGGTGGTTGTGGCTCTGATCATTAATTTCCTGGTTTTATATATAGGTGGAGTGACGGCCATGGATGATTTCTTGATGAAATTCTTTCCGGCTGTTCATGAAAGGAAACTTCACGCCAAGGAAAACAATTATTGCAAATACGATGACCAATCTCTCCAGCTCTTCACATCTTCTTTGTACCTTGCTGCTCTTGTTGCAAGTTTTGGTGCATCAAAGTCTTGCTCTCTACTTGGCCGGCAACCCACCATTGTTATGGCGGGGAGCTTTTTCTTGCTTGGAGCCGCCTTAAGTTGTGCGGCTTCACAGAAATGGATGCTCATTCTTGGGAGGATCCTTTTCGGCGTTGGAGTTGGATTTGGCAATGAGGTATATACATACGTTACTATGTGTTTTGTTAATGTAATGCCTCTAGACTGACGATAATTGTATGACAGGAAACCGCCTTGAACAATATTAATATATAGTGAATATCATTATAAATTGAGTAGGCTATTTTTAAAAATTTTACAAAAAAGGAGAACATTTTTTTTTTTTTTTTTTCTAAATGGAAATTTTTTTTTATAAATATAAACAATAAATACAAGAGACACATGGAACATACCCCACATGGGACACAGCCTAATCAAGGCATATCAAGACATAAAACAAAACATCTTCAAGCAAAGAAAAAAAAATTATAAGTAATTTTGCAAAGAAAAAAAATTTCTTAATGGGTCTGTGCCTGGCTCTAGACCTCCCAACCTCTCTAACCCAGTTGGTATAATCTCATCTTTTGAAGGAGATGCATTCGCATTTGAGTTTAAGTTCAAGTTCAAGCAAACACAAACCCATGTTTTCGTAATAATCCCTTAAACAGACAACTAAAAATAAAATATTATCATGATTTGCAGTTAATATAAAGATCAAAACTACCTTTAGTCACATAGGTTTTCATCCATGGTTCTGATAAAATTGAACCTTAAAAAAAAATTGCAGTCCGTTCCTCTCTTCCTGACCGAGATTGCACCGGTCCAACACCGCGGCGCTGTCAACATTCTCTTCCAACTCTTCGTAACAATCGGTATCCTCATTGCCAATATGGTGAACTACGGCACATCAAAACTACATCCACATGGATGGAGGGTTTCTTTAGGTTTAGCAGGCGTTCCCGCCCTTTTCCTGTTCCTGGGCTCGCTGGTCATCACCGAGTCACCGACGAGCCTGGTTGAGCGCGGCAAAGAGAATAAAGGGAGAGAAGCACTGAAGAAGATTAGGGGTGTGAGCGACGTAGAAGCCGAATTTGAACAGATCAAAATGGCGTGTGAGCAAGCCAAACTAGTCAGGCATCCATTCAAGAAGCTGATGAAGCGCTCGAGCATGCCCCCGCTGATCATCGGCATCATGATGCAAGTGTTCCAGCAGTTCACAGGGATCAATGCCATAATGTTCTACGCACCGGTTTTGTTCCAGACCGTCGGGTTCAAGAATGACGCTTCGCTGTTGTCGGCGGTCATCACCGGAACTGTGAATGTGCTGAGCACTTTTGTCTCGATCTATGCTGTGGATAGGGCTGGGAGGAGGAAACTGCTTCTCCAAGCTTGTGTCCAGATGTTCATTTGCCAGGTACATTTCACTTATATTGCAGAAAATTACAATTACATGGTTATCTTTACATCAGGTAACTTCACAGTCCGCGTAAAACCGTTGTCGTGACTACATGAATGTGATCCAAGAAACACTTGTTGGTTAGGAATAGATTACTTATACACGGAGTTTTTAATCTTTATTTACTATTTTATAGAATCAAAATAATGATATTTTGGATAGCTATAGTTGACCAAAATGCTAACCTCGAGGTCAAAAAAAAAATACTGTTTTCAGTGTCCAAATTATCTTTACTATTTTCATATACCATTTTTTGTGCTGACCAAATTATTAGGTACCACTTTTTATTCACGCATGTACTTTTTTTTCATTATGACATGATCGGCACAAAATAATACCTAGGTGTATAAAAGGTGATATCTATGTACACAAGAGTGGTATTTACATGCACAAAAGTAGTACTTTAAAATAGTACGGGTAGATTGGACTTTGGACAATTAATGAACAATGTTTTTTTTTTATGTACACGTCAGCATTTTAATTAACACCATTTTTTTGAAACATCACGACTTTGACAACATAAAATAGTAAATAATGGTCCAAAAACTCTATACATACGTTATAATTCCTTTATTTAGTTAATTGGAATAATTACATATAAATGGTGCTAATGACTTATTTTTACCATTTGATGGAATCAAATTTTTATAATTTCAAAAAAATAAAAATATGGAAAAACACTGTTTACCCAGGTATCACTTTTAGGCACATAAGTATCACTTTTTGTGCATGCAGGTACCACTTTTTATCATCAAGCACTTTTTGTACCACTTTTTGTGTTGCACAAAAAAGTGGTACCTATGTGCAACAAAAGTGATACATATGTGATAAAAGTAATACCTCTGCGCACAAAACAAAGTGATACCTGATGCATAAAAAGTGATACCTCCGTACACAAAAAGTGATACTTATGTGCCTAAAAGTGGTACTTCAGCGAGGGTATACAGTGTTTTTTTATGTACACGTAAGCATTTTGGTCAATTTCATTTTTTTTGAAACTATAAGACTTTTGACCTTTTAACTCTATTAACTGATAAATATGGGTCATTAGCACTATTGATACTTAATAATCCCTAGTTAATTTGCGTAATGGGACTAAGATTTGCTTACTTTGATGGTGCCATATTATATATTCAAAACCTTCAAATTTTATAAATAAATATTTGAGCTTCATTGGTTAACCAGTTTATTATATATGCTTCTAATAATGCAGATGACAATAGGAGTGATTCTAATGGCTAAATTGAAAACCACTGGTTCCCTCGACAAAGGATTAGCAGCTGTGGTGGTGGTGCTGGTGTGTTTGTTTGTGATGTGCTTTGCATGGTCATGGGGTCCTCTTGGCTGGTTGATACCAAGTGAGACGTTCCCTCTGGAGACAAGGACAGCCGGCTTCGCGTTCGCGGTTAGCGCCAACATGTTGTTCACTTTCATCATCGCTCAGGCCTTCTTGTCCATGCTCTGCAACATGCGTGCCGGCATTTTCTTCTTCTTCTCTGCTTGGATTTTGGCCATGGGGTTGTTCGTGGTGTTCCTGTTACCGGAGACGAAGGGCGTGCCCATTGATGTCATGGTCGAGAGGGTGTGGAAGCAGCATCCTGTGTGGAAGAAGTTCATGGATACTTCAGGCCCAAGGACTTATGAGATGGCCTGAAAATAATTTCGAAGGTTCTTTTGGAGAAGATGAAGTTGAAGTCAAAACACTCAGACGTAAGTGTATTATGGTCTGATTTTGATAAAAGATATATGCTGTGAGTGACAGTAGGAGTTCAATAGTAGCTCAGTTTTTGAATTTGTTTGTTCAATACCCCTTTTAAGCTCCTAAATATTAGATTACCATGCTTCCATTTTTTCTGTTTTCGACTATTGTTGAGTTTAGATTCAAAAGTTTGAGTATTGACTAGGAAATTATAGCTTTCGCCATTGTAAGATTTAGAGATGGTCAAATGTACACCACATGAAGAGATTGTTTTTTATTTTGATCCGTGACTTTCAAATCGCAATAAAGTAACCTTATCGTCAACTTAGAAACTAACTCTTTCGTTATTTTGTTAAGGATGAAAAACAAAAGTATAGAACAACATTAATTTCTCAAGTTTATTTTTCTAGAGTCACTTTATAAAAGAACAATTAATTATTTACAAACCCAACCTAAATAGCTCATGGTGAGTTGTCTCATTATGCTTTAGATATAACTTCCTTTTTATTTTTTATTTTTTGTTTTTGTATCCCTGCAAACTAGAGGAATAAGGACATACCTACTTAAGAAGCTGAACGCTCTACTAACTATGTCATTTGTCACTTGGTGATACCTTATAACTTGATTGTGTTTGATAACACAAAGCTTGAGTGTCATAATTCCAAGCACAGTTAATATTTGTAAAGTGAAGTCAACACTAATGAAATTAAACAACCGTTGACAAATACCAAAGGGGTATGGCCTCCCTATCTTCAAAGAAGAGGGGAGAGGTACGATCCCGGGCACGTGCAAAAATGTGTGTTTCCCATCTTCAAAGAAGAGGGGGCACGTGCAAAAATGTGTGTTTCCCATCTTCAAAGAAGAGGGGAGAGGTACGATCCCGGGCATGTGCAAAAATGTGTGTTTGCTTTTCCGAGAAAAAACAAAAAAAGTCCAGGCCCAATGGTAAATGTTGTGCAAATTTTTCTTCTCAAAGGGCATCAATTCTTTGTATCTGCCTCATCCCCAAAACAAACAGCTAATAGGATTATGTGTCTTGGGACTTCTTGTTTCATGTGCTTAAAGCTTTTGGATTTGGCGATAAATCACTAACAGGATTAATGGGAGGTTTCACACTGCTGAATTGGATGGTTTGGTATTCACACTGTTTTATGCCGACCATCTTTTTTCTGATTGCTAAAGCAAGTGTGAGGTCGTCGAAATGTAATTTGAATATCTTTGGTAAGTTCAAAACCCCCTCTGAACGTGCTCTTGTTCAGAGGTCGCTGGGAAGGGAGATGTCATCGTTCTCATGGTCGTGACCACATGACCCAAGTTCAGTTCTGCATGCATATGTGTGTGTGTGTGTGTGTGTGAGAGAGAGAGAGAGAGAGAGAGAGCTAACACAGTCGTGTAAGCCTGTTCCAAGGTGCTTTTTGAAGTACCATAATCATTACTTCGAAAGTCCAAAATACAATCAAAAAGATGACCAAGCAAAGAATTCGTCTTGCCAAAATTCACAACAGTTTAAAAAAATAATCTGTACAAGTTTCTGGCAGGACTTCAGATGAATAGAGTTTTCCGGTTGCTTTGATGGGTTAGTTATGAAAGAGCTGTCACTTAAATTCCATTAATTATAGTTGTAACCGAATAAAAAGAAGAAAATAGTAATACAACAAAAAAAGAAAAAAAAAAAAAAGGCAGGAAAAGTTAGTTCACACATTCATCGAGATGCAATGATCAGGCTCGATTATGAGCCTTGATGCTCAGAGTTTCTCAACGCAGCCAAATCCTTTTCCTGCTGTTTTTTAAGATATCTCTGTGCTGTTGCAGTCACGATCTTAACGAAGAAGTTCATAAGCATAAGCCATACAACAGTGTTCCAAATTGAAGCAAACGACAAATCCCACTTCTTCACCTGAGAAACATGTGAAAAAGGAACAGAATAAAATGAATCACAGCAAAAAACATTCAAAGTGACAATTCGTGTCCAAAATCGGGCAGTCTACTGTCAAATTCCATCCAAAAAATAAACGGAGCCTTATCCAGCATGAGAATCTACCTTGATATTTGAGGGCACAGGAGGAGGGGTTGCCATATACTTGTCTTTCATTGCATGCAGTTTGGCGATGAGATTGGGAAGGGCAGAAGAAAAACCAGGTATAAGGCCAAGCAACCAAATCAACTCGTTTTCTATCCAATCAAGGAGTTGATTATTGCAAACTGAAATAATGAATACTGTCTGCAGAAGAATAATCAACCTAGCACTAATCAGAAGCCAAAACATCATTGTCTGAAAATCTAAACCAGTTTTACACCTTCATAATGGCAGCTAAAACTATAAACATGCGCTTAAAAGCGTCCAACAAATGGAAGTACAAGAACAAGACCTTCACAAACCTGTATGTGAGTTTTAATAATAGCCTTTCCAATCAATGTTGCAAGAAAAAACTTCCAGAAAGGGATCCCGAATTGTCCACACATGATGCCAGCAAGGTCAAATAGAGGATTTGGCACCTATTAGTTAACCAACAGAATACATATTAACAATCAACATATAAGCTGTGGCAAAACACTACATTCTTCGCAACCCCTCCCTCTTCCTCAACAAAGAGGCATAGGAAGATACATATCATCCAAGAAAAAAATATTCATTCAAAAATGAGGATCTCATATACTAGAAGTTAATAAGTAATAGAAAATTGACAAACAATCTTGCAATAAATCTTGCAAGAAAATGAAGAGCAAATGAAAGCTAACCGATGCAAGCACTAAAATTGTAAAAAAGTTCAAATATTGTGAATGCGACAGAAACCAGCACTTGATTTGATTTAAGTGAGTAGCTACAACTCCATTATCTTTGGACTGAGAAGCATCCAATTCTTCCATGGCATCCAATTTGTTACCCGACATGCATGCTGCATAAAGATATAGATTGCCAAAAGATTAAGAAGCTGCCTTGTAAGATGAGCAAAAAAAGCATATAATCAGACAAAACAGGATGATCGTAGCATTACTTACATAACAAATGCAAATGTGGTAGAAACTAGCCATATATGCAGAGAAATCACTAGCATGTAACATGGACTCGGTATGAGTATCAGGTGAGGGTACATGGACACATTCTAATGCATGATTTGATTGTTCTCAAGGTATAATCATTACTCAATCAAAAGAAGTTCACATAAATTAGAATTCAATTAAACAAGGTGTAAAACAAAAAAAAAAAAAAAAAAAAAAAGAAAAAAATTAAAAAAAAAAAGGATTTTCATCTATCTCATAAGTAGGAAACTCTTCTCAACTATCGAATTTGATATTTTCTTCTTATTCCAACATAACATTTGGTAAATCAAAGTGTCGAATTTGGGTATTTGTGCAGACATGTATCCCATACTTATTATACCCATGTCATGCCGTGTCATGCCGACACGGGTGTACCTGAAGGAAACAGTTATCCATATAGCATAAATTCAACAACTATTGCAGAAATTATCCATGTAAGAAGAGTAAACAAATGGAGTGGGGTTGGTGATGGACTTATGGTCTTCGGTATGCTGGCATACAGAAGGAACTTTTCCATTTCACTTCAAGCAATATATATTTGAACTGTTTAACCAGTACTCTACACAGGTGTCATCCATGTGACAGTAAACATTGCAACTTCCCCATCCACTGATACCCTCCTCCCTTCCACACATGTGCATACAGAAGGCACTCTGACAACTGGGAACAAAATCATGCTTCCATCAAAACCTTTGATACATAAAATGAGATCATCCATAGCCACAAACACATTAATAATTCTCCTAAGCTGATTACTAATAGCCGATATTTTAACATAATTAGTGAACATCAATCCGTGAAAGAAGTCAAAAATACTAAAGATTTATCAATGTTGGAATTATGACTGAAAACCTCAACGTTAGGTAAACATGAGGCAAAACACATTCCTAAATACAAAACATCATATAAAATAGGAAGGAAACACAATCCCATGACTTGATTTGACATTATTATGCTCATAACTTTATACACCAGTCTCAATAAAAATGTTCCCCAAAAGTCCAAAAATACTTTTAGAAGATAATATTGCTATTAATTCATCCCACAGAAAATTCAATTTTCTTAGTTTACGTGTGAAGAAACATTAGTAATCTAAGACTACATAAACATAACACTGGTACTCATACCTGCTCTTGAAATAAAGTATGGAGGGAGCTCTCCAAGTGCAGTCCCAATGCCCCACAAAATTGCCTCTATCTGGACCTGTGGCAATATACTGCTAAGTGGAACCCGTGAACCATGTGAAGATGCAAACAACGGAGCCCCAAATTCTGAGCAATCCTTGTCAAGCCATGTGGGCCCACTTTTCAATTGTATGGTATCATATGGAGCACTTTTAATATCAACTCGGCCACACTGCATCGCTTTTATCGTGAACAATGCAATATGAGGACCCAGATAAAGGACAAAAGTGTGCAAACCAGATCCTGAAATAAATAGGGAGACATTACACGATTAGTCTCAGTACTGCTATGTTAAGGTTGAAGATTTTACCACACATAAAAGACAGATACTTATTATTTTAATCAAATAGCAGCAAAATAAACAAGGAATGGTGTTTTTCAACAGTTAATTGATATTTGATTCTAGCTTACACAAGAAGCTGAATAACTTCAGATATAATGTTCAAGCTAACAGACTTCAAAAGCTTTAATGTAAAAAATTAAGAAAATCCTGCGACTATCCCATTCAAAGTCGATTATGAGCAGAAAACATTTAATTTTGGAAAACAGAATGGCACAGTTTCCACACAGACACACATCACACAGAAGAACGTAGGAAGACTAAAGAAGAAAGGTTCCATTGAGAAGTTCTATACTATTCCTGACAAGAATTTTGCATATTACTCTCATATTATGAATTTAGCACCTCCTTTACATGGTACAGATATGTGTCTTAAGAGACCTGTTTATAAAATACTAGAATTCAAGGAAACAGGACAGCTAAATATTCATATGAGTTAATATTTTTCATTTATTTTCTAAGGTAAATAATGTTTTTACTTGGTTCAACCAAATAATTTAATATAAGCAACATAACAAAATATTTTTATGTGCAACCATTTGTAAATTTTAAATTTTTATTATTGCAAATACATGTCCAAACATATGTTTCTGGCACATATGTCATACCCATCTACGAGTGCTGCTTGTCTGACTCACATTGAGAAAAGCGTAGGAAGACTAAAGGAGAAAGGTTCCATTGAGAAGTTCTATACTCATCCTGACAAGAATTTTGCATATTACTCTCATATCTTGAATTTAGCACCTACTTTACATGGTACAGATGTGTCTAAGAGTCCTTTATATATAATAATAGAATCCAAGGTATCAGAGACACATCTAAATATTCATATGAGTTAATATTTTTTATTTATTTTCTAAGGTAAATAATTCTTTTACTTGGTTCAAATAAATAATGTAATATAAGCAACATAGCAAAATATTTTTATGTACAATCATTTTAAATTTAAATTTAAATTACAGTAAATACATGCCCAAAACATGTCTGACACGTACGTCATACCCATCTACGAGTGCTGCTTGTCTGACTGACATAATTCATTCATTTTTCAGGAGTCCATGTATCGTTGAGTAGAATTCCAAATAACAAAATATTCAATGAAGCAGTCAGGTTTTAGCACTCCAGATAACAAGATAATCAATGAAGCAATCAAGTTCCAGATCTCTAGAAAACCTTGTAATGGTGGTCAGTGGTCACAAAAATTTATCCTACAAAAAAGGCGAGCAATTTGATGTAGCAGATTTATGTTGAACTGCATCAGGCACCTGAATCTTATTTTGTTTCATAATGCATATCTGATTTAACACCATTTTTCTGCACTGTATGTAAAAGTGCACATTGGGTCAATCTCAAGTGTTGACACCCACGTATACCCTGGTTACATTCAAAATTAAAGCTTGTTGAAAGCTTTGATAACAGGTCGGCATCACCCAATAATTTTGAACAAACTATGACAATATAATATATTATATAGTGGACTATTAAATCCAAATATTTAGAATTTGGTAACATCACACACGCACTGGAGTACCCAACACACACACACACTGTGATGACCATGTAATCTTTTATTTTTCTGAGTTTTTTTTTTATTATTTATTATTTTTATTTTATTTTATTTCCTTTTCATCTTAGGGTTGTGTGGGCCCAAGACAAGGTCAAGTGTTCGGGAATGGCTCCCAACACTTCATTCATTTAATCATTATATATTCTACCCTCATGACATTATAGAATTGCATAGAACTAGTATGCATTTTAATTTATATTTTGTGGGGGTATTTGTGCGATTATGTTGTGAGGACATTTTCATTTTCGGGGGTCTTTGTGCGAATATCTTTTGAAGATAATTTCATTTTGGGCATTAGTGCGATTATCTTTTGGAGATATTTTCTTGGAGGAACCTTTGTGCAATTAAGGAAAGTTGAGACAAGTGTTTTGTTTTTATTGGACCATGTGTTAAAGTGTGGTTGGTGACATGTGGAGGGCTAGGATGGTGACTAGTGGAGGGCTTGGATGGTAGTGTGTGAGAGAGGTAGTGCTACGGTATGTGTTTTTGATATATATCACTTTTTCTCCTAATTTGCATCTTCTTCCTCACTTTTTCTCTCTACCTCCATTGAAGCCAAACCTTGGACCTTGAATTCCTTCACCTTCCTTTAATCTTTTGGACACACCATAGAAGGGGAAAAGTTTGGGGACACCAAGGCCAACAAAACCCTTGTTTTTGTTTTGGCTTTGGACCACTTTGCATTTGGATTTTTCTAGGTTGCTTTCCTAGGGTGAGGTAGGGGGTGTAGTATGATTTTAAACAAAAGCTTTCTTTGTGTTTTGGGATATATTGCATGTAGTGCTTGTATTGTGTGAGTTATGAGAGTTTCTAGCATACTTTAATTCATAACCTAGACTTGTTTAATGTTCTAAAGCATGAAGAATATTGCAAATGGTTCTAATTGTCCATGTATTATGATTTTATGGTTAACTTAGTTTACTACAACCTTGAATGCTTATATTATCATATAGCCTCTTATGTAAAAATTATTTTATGATATATATATCTATATATATATATATATTCTTTACATAGTGGATTTAATGTGTAGACCATTGAATAATTATTTGAGAGCATAAATTGATGGTTGGATAGGTTACTAGTGTACTTTGACAATGAGATGCTATCATGCTTTAATTCCCTTTTGCCTTGATATTACAAAATGCTCAATAATGTCATTGCATTGAAATCCATGTCATAGTAGCATTGAAGACTATAGGACATGTTGTGTGTGTGTCTTGGAACTTAAGTGTGCTTGTGAAATGTGAAGTGCATTATTCGGTTTAGTATGTATGTGATACATTGTGGACATGATTGTTGATTTTTGGGAGATACTTGGGACAATGTTACTTTGAGAATGTGAAGGTTTGGCTCTCAAGAGTGAGCTCAAGCTCCCCAATGTATAGTGGCCACTAGGGTAGTTCCCAGCGGGTTAATAGCCCGGTAATAGCTATTTTTCCAGTGCACATTATACATGTGATCGTGTGTGTGTAAGTCCAAGTTATCCCTATTATTTTATTTCGGTCTATATTTCCAAGTTGACCTATGTAATAGTGTAGCTAGGCTTGGTTTGCATTGAGTGCATATATCTTGCTTATCATATTTTCGAATTGGATTCAATTGTTAGTTCTAGGTGAACTTTTAGGAATTCCCTTATACTAGACGTTAGGAGGCATGTCCCATACTTACGTAGCTTGTACTATATTTGCGGGGCCAAAAAAACCTAGTTTAACTTTATAATGCATTTTCCTACGGAGTAATGTAAATTACTCACCCTAGTTGATTTAACATTTTTCAGGTAAAGAGGTGCTATTCTTGGATGCACATATTCCTTAGCTTGGATCAACTTGTGTTGGCTTGGACCTCTTTTGTTATACGTTCACATGCGAAGTGTTTAGCATGCTTACGTAGTATTTTGGTTTTTGGTGTATTTGGAAATGTAATGTGTTTACTTGAGAATGGAAATGGTTAGGGAACTCATTTTAGCTTTTGGAGTTCTCTAATGATTTCCATTTCTTCTCATCTCTTTTGTATAACTTGAACTTAATGTAATGAGGCCTTAGAGCCACTTTTATGTATCTTTGTTTCCTTATGTAAATTACACCCTTGTATGCTACACACACTCTCAAATGGATTTCACTTCACCATTCCTTTCGTGTTTGGAACCTCTTATATTGTTCTTCAATGTTTATTATGATATTAATGGACTTATTTTGACACCCTTTTCTTGGTCACATTAGCCATGTAGGCTAATATGGGTTTTAGCTTCTGCATTGTAGCCCTGGTCTACGGGTCGGGTTTGAGCTTTCTAGTTAATGCACCGGATCATGGGATTTGGGCAGTTACACACACACATAGAGTTTGCCTAGCCAAACCTACATAAATGTTATAATGCATGCATATCCAACTTTGAATTGTAATACCAGAAGTTTTAGCTAACAAAGTTACAATTAATTTCCATACCACGATAGCACGTCAACCAAAACAGCTCCAGTAATTATCAACAAAATACTGGTCAAGGCACTAGAACGCATATATTTTATTCATTTAATTTTGCTCACCAAGACCAATAGAAGATGCAACACCAAGGGCCACCCACCACAATCCAAACCGTACATATTTAAGAATCTCTTCAACATGCTGCAGAAATAGGTAAGCAACATCTATCAGCATTCACAAGTATTAAGAAACTTTAACAAGTCACATGCCAAAAATCAATTGAATACTTGTAAGCACCATGACATGAGGTGCAGGGTTCACGTCCCAGTTGGATGCGGGTGTATTCAATAGAAATATATAAAAACTAATACGGTCATGAAATATAAAATGTCATCCTCATCGTATATGGCAAGGAGCTTTGAGATTAAATCTGTTTGAGAGGCCAAGGAGCCACCATAAACTGATTGTACTCGAATTCCTATTTAGCAATGATTACATCAATAAGGAGCCTCCGTTGACAGTAGTCAACAGTTTTCTAAATTCTTATCTACAAAATAATGATTTTGCAAGTCATCTATGTTATCATAACATGTACCAGACTAAAAAGTTTCAAAAATAATTGTCAAACTAAAGTACCTTTTCATGAGGACCATCAATGGTCACAAGCAAAATTCCAAGAATCGTCACAAAGGTACTCAAAAGCATAAGCAACCCACCATGCGCCAAAAGATATAATACTGATCGTTTGATATATTCAATACTAGCCAAAATGAAAAGATTTAATGTTTTGAAAGGTTGTGCTGTTAGCGTCAAATTTTCTAGTTCCTGTTGATGCTTTGCCTGTAGTTCTGCAATTAAAAAAAAAAAAAACTTGTTAGCTCATAGAAGAAATCTTTTTAAATAAAAATTTGACCATACAAACTGTGTAATGGAATTCTATTACTTAATATATATACACAAACACACACACATTGAAAAGATAATATCTTGATGAAGGAAATAATTCCAATTAAAGAGGGATAAACTATGAATGGAAACTAAGAAATTTAATTTCGCAATGAAGATCTACTAAAAGGAAAGCTAAGTCAAAGAGTTCTGAAAATAGCATGTTAAAATTTGGTTTGAATAAGTGTTAATATGATCATGGTATCTGTTTATGATCCTTGGTCTATATGAAATCTTTTCTGGAGAACGCAAAGCTGCCTCGTCTGTTTCAGGGGGGAACAGTCAAGGCAGCTAATCCCCACAGAGGTCCTCTATCTACTTGGACGATGTTTCTACAGAGAGAAGAAGGGAGGATCTCAGGTCGTGTTCGGTGGGGAAATTTGACAAAGAAGTGGGTGACATGAAGCAAATTGCAGATTGGGCCTCGCGTGCTTGGTGAGTCTTTTTTTTTTTTTTTTTTTCCTAGTTGGTACTCACACACACTTGTCTATTTTGAGACTTGAACCACTGATCTCCCTTTGGAAAATAAGAGGCTGATACCGCTAGGCCACTGGCCCGTTGGTTGCTTGGTGAGTCTCTTGTGGAGTTGGAGTGATGCCTTTGCCGGGGTAGGACCACGCTGCGTGTGGACAACTGGTGCTTTAGGGTGGGATGCTCCGGTGTGCCGAAGGAGAAGGGGATGGAGAGGGTTGTGTTGTACGGTATTCCCCTACATCTCAGGTGTCAAGCTTTGTTCGTCACTGTGGGGGATCTGTGTGGCGGCTTTATTTGGGTGGAAGCAGATGAAAGGAAGAATGCCGAGCTTGTTCGAATCAATGGTGAGTGATGGATGTGAGTGCCCGCCGTCAATTTTCGTTCATGATGATCGCCTCGATTACAAGGTGGCTGTATGGGAAGAGGTTCTTCCTGAGCTTGTGCCAACAACTGAGAGTCTGGAAGGAGGGGATGGGTATTCTCTGTTGAGGGAGGAGGATTGGTGAAATATGATGGCGAAAGGAAGGAAAGGAGTTGAGCACTACCACGGTTGGAGGGATGGTCGGAAGTTGCAGAGGGTTGTCCACCAAAATAGAAGAAGAAGATGGGGAGGTGGATCTCACCCGAGGGGCGCGAGTGATGCTGGCCCAGCTGATCAAGGATTTTGCAGGAAACGTGGCAAACATAGAACGCCTTATCAACGGGAGGCAGTTTTTGAATCATGCTCCTTCGACGCGTGCCGACTCTAGCACACGGAAGACACGTGATTCTTTTGTCCAGATCTCATGGGCTGGGCATTTTCATTTATATGATCAAATGAACAGATCTGAGCCCAATGCTTCTTTGAATAACAGGGTCCAGTTGAAGGGCCCAACTTCGTTCAAGCCTAATGAGAATTATAAGAAACATTTGGGCCAGGATCGCACGTCTTCAGGCTCTTGGGTTCCTAATGTTGATTCCAGACTGAAGCCCATGTTCTTAAGCCCAGTGGACAGAAGTCCAGACCCTTGGATGACCAATTACTTGGTCCTCCCTTAAGTAATTCTTTTGGGCCAATTTCTGGGATTGATTGTTGCTCAACTGATATTGCTCATGATCATCCAAACTTGAGGAACAGAACCAAGGCAAATACATCAAAGAAGTGAAGAGATGACGGGGCTAGAGCGGAGGTTGGAACTAGGTTGATGCACCACTGAATTGCTCAACCTGTCCGGGCAAAAGGCAGAAGATAGTCTCACAGACAAAAACAGAAATGGATGAAATTGTCTGGGTCTCCTAATTGTCCACGTATGTGCTCTGTCTCAACCTCTCAGATATGTCCTTTTTCTTCTTCTCCTTCTTGTGGGGTGTTGAGGAGTTATATTAAAGAGTTTGGTGGGGGTTTGTTGCTGGAGAATGGGAAACTTTCACCTGTGTTTGAAAGGGCATCCGCGGAGGAAGATAGCGAGAAATTGACTGGTTCCGACGGTTGTTCGGAGGAAGACTCTGAGAGTTTGTCAGTTTTCTCCGGCAATACAGGGGTTCTCTCTAATTACAGTGGCAAGTTTGCTAAAACAAAGTGTGACCAGATGAAGATTCTGTCAAGTGGCAAGGATGATGGGAGTGTGGTTTTGTGCATTGGCAGTGGAACCAAGATACGCATTGGGAAAGCATCTGCAGAAGCCCTTCGTGCAGATCTACAGCTCCACTGTGCTGGCCTCAATGATAATTTTGATGTTCAATATTACATGAGGCCAGTGATGCTTCTGCGGGCAGAGGACCTTTCCGCCCTAGGGAGAGGGAAATGGTTGACCTGCAGATAAGTAAAGGTGAGGTTTTGCCTGTTGTTGAGTTTGGTGGGGGTGCTGAAATTCAACCACCAGTTTGGGAGAACAGTGGAACTGTTGGGATTGATATCCCTTTGGCCACAGTCCGGGATACGCAAATAGCACTTCAAATGGCAGGAACAGATGGGGAATGGTTCATGCATTGTATTGAAGGGGTGGGTAATTTGCTGGGTTTGTCAAGTGCAGGCAACGTTAACAGCGTTCATGAGATGTTCCAAGCAAATGACAATGAGTGGACTGTGGTAAGGCATAAGATGTCTCCTCACCGGAAGGGGGAGAGGGAGCTCAATAGTCGTATCTCCTATGTTAACTATGAGGGGAGAAGTGGAGGTGGAAGTCAGAAGATGAAGGATGAAGTGAGAAGAAGAAAAGGTGGAAGAGGGGAGGGGGGAAAGAGATTGTATGTCTATGAAGCTCAAAATAGTTTCTTGGAATGTTCAGGGCTTTGAACGAACCGGACAAGAGGAAGGTGGTGGAAGCCTTCATTTGCAAATGGGAAGCGCAAGTGGTGTATTTGCAAGCTTGATATCGAGAAGGCTTATGATCATGTTTGTTGGAACTTCTTGATGTATATGCTGGAAAGGATGGGCTTTGGTCCTAGATGGAGGAAGTGGATCTTTCAATGTATTTCGACTGCGCAGTTCTCAGTCTTAGTGAATGGTTCCCTAGCTGGCTTCTTCGCTGGCCCTCGAGGTTTGCACCAGGGTGATCTTATCATTGTCATGGAGGCGTTCAGCAGACTGATGAGGAGGGCAGAAGTATTGGGATTTATTCAAGGGTTCTCGGTGGGAAACAGTCCTAATGAGCTGGTTATTTCTCACCTACTGTTTGCAGATGATACTATCCTTTTTTGTGATGCTAGGGTGGATCAGTTGAGGTTCTTAAGGTGTGTACTGGCCTGCTTTCAAGTTGTTTCGAGGCTGAAGATCAATATCGGGAAGGGTGAGTTGGTCCCAGTTGGGGCAGTCGATGGTATTCAGGACTTTGCAGATATTCTTGGGTGTGGTGTTGGCACCCTCCCATTTTCTTATCTTGGACTCCCTTTGGGAGCTGTTTCGAGTAGCATTTCAGTTTGGGACCGCATGGTCGAGCGTTTTGAAAGGAGGCTTGCAGGGTGGAAGAAGCAATACCTTTTGAAAGGGGGGAATATTACCCTAATGAAAAGCACCCTTTCAAACCTTCCAACCTACTATTTGTCTATCTTTCTGATGCCAAAGGCCATTATTCAACGACTTGAGGAGATACAAATGAATTTCCTATGGGGCGGCAAAAGTGATGAGTTCAAATACCATTTGGTGAACTGGGATAAGGTGTGCTCCCTGCTTCACAAGGTGGGCTTGGGCATTCGGAGATTGGATTTGTTCAACAATGTTTTGTTAGGCAAATGGCTTTGGAGACTTGGAAGGGAGAGGCCTCGACTATGGAGGAGGGTCATTGCTTGTCGTCATGGGGAGGGTGATGGCGGGGATGGGCACTTGGAAGCGTATCCGGAAGGGGTGGGATAAGTTTTCCAAATGTATCCGATTCAGAGTTCGAAGTGGGAGTCACGTCAGGTTTTGAGAGGATCGCTAGCGTGGGGACTTGTCTTTGTCTCGTAGGTTTCCTCGGTTATTCAGGATTTCTTCGAGAAGACATGCTTTGATTGCAGACTGTTATCGGCTTGATAGCGGAAGGTTGACTTGGGATGTGCATTTTCGTAGAGAGTTTCATGATTGGGAACTTACGGAGGTTGCAAAGTTCTTAGCCTTGCTCTATAGCCAGGTGGTGGAGGGGGAGGGAATGGATGAGATGGTGTGGGAGAGTACTCCAAGAGGGGCGTTTGAGGTTAGAGCTTTTTATCACAGCCTTTCGGAGATCCTAGGTCCTCCCTTTCCGTGGAAGGCAATTAGGAGGTCAAAATCCCCATTGAGGGTGGCTTTCTTTGCATGTTGTGCTGCTCACGAAAGTATTATTACCCTTGACAATCTTAGGAGGAGACGACATACTGTGGTTAACTGGTGTTGTGCGTGTAAGAAAACGGAGGAATTCGTGAATCACCTTCGTCTGCACTGCCAGTGGCTAGAGAATTTTGGGCTATGTTTTTTATCGTGTTTGGCATGTCTTGGGTGTTCCCAAGATCCACAGTGGAGTTGGTTAAGGCTTGGAGATGGTGTCTAGTGGAGAGCCGAGCTAGGGATGTTTGAAGCGTCATTCCCTTTGTTTATGGTGGGGCTTATGGTATGAGAGAAATAGGAGATCCTTCGAGGGTGAGGAGACACATGTTTGGTCTCTCAAATACAAGATATTGTATTCTTCAATTTTTTTGGTAAATGGGCACAATTGTAAATATTTAGGGCATCTTTTGGATTTTGTGGATAGCTTAAAGCTATAGTAGTCGCCTTTGGCGTCTTGTGTATTCTTTTGGGAGCGCTCCCCTCTTGAGCACCTTTAATGAAATCTTACTCATCAAAAAAATATATATATGATAGTAAGTAAAGTCCCTACATGAATTATGCTATGTTTGGTTGGAAGTAGGAATTGAGGAAGGATGGAAGAGAGGAGAGACAGAAGAAACTTCCCTTGTTTGGTTGAGAAGAGAAAAGAGGGAGGATGCAAGGAGGGAGGAAGCATCTCTCGGCTCTCCTAGCCCATGTTTTTTTAACCTTCCAATATTGGAAGAGAGGAGGAAAAGAAAGAAAAACTGCCTTACAAATATGTAATACCAATTTTAACCTTCAATTATTTACAAAATCACTTGTTAAACCCTACTGAAATTCTATCACACATAAACAATAATGTATTTCTAGTTATTAAGACTACGTTTTTTTATTGAGAAAATAATTATTAAACTCCACCTTAAAAGTTCATTTTTAAATTGAATTACTACACTAGCCTAACGCGTTGTGCATGTATATGTTTCAAATATTTTTCAAAAGTTCATCGCACATGTATATGTTTCAAATATATTACTTACAATATTTGAATCCAGGAAAAGATAGATAAAAACTATATATTATCATGATTATTAACTGAAATTGTAAGAAGTAAGAACTATGTTACAAGTTGAAGTCATCATAGATAAGGGAAAAAATTATAGACAAAGGTGAGCTTAGACGATGCATTTTATCACTTCCACTGTCACAGAATTGCAAATATGTCGAGATGAGCTCACTCGAGACTTTTCATCCTAAAAGTGCGTAGCCCTGTTAGGGGCAATATTGTGGGGTATGTGCGCTTTTGGTTGAACTTTCGAATAAATAAATAAATATTTACTTTTAAATTTTTTATAAATTTATATAATGAGGGTATATTGGTAAAAAATATAGCAACTCCCTCTCCCTTCCTTCCAACCAAACAAAAAAAAAGGTGTCACCCCATAGTCCCATACATCCTTTCTACTATCCCTTCCATTCAACCAAACAAAAAGTGAGGAAAACACCTCTTCCCTAGGAATGCCTCATCAATCCGTCCCCCTTTCCCTTCCATCCATTATGCATCCCTCCAACCAAACGGAGCATTGAACTTTTAAAATTTAAAGGAGTGAATAAATAAGTTGGTGTCTTTTCAATCCAAAAGGGAAAGTGGCATCACTGTAGTACTAGTAATTGACTTGTTCAATACAAATAGTTGGTTGCCTTTCTTTGATTATTAAGCAAGAAGGAAAATTTCCGGACAAAACAATTTCTCAGCGTATTTAAGGAAAGTTGACATAGTTGGCAGCTAAATAAACAAAGGAAAGGGAAATTCTTGATGTTTGAAGATCACTAGTACAAGGAAACTACTGAATGAGGGGCTAGACTTTGTAAGAAAGGGCTCCTGAGATACAACCAAGCCTTCGGCCCCTTTCAGTACTAAAGACACCACACAAAAATGGAAATAGAGAACGGACGAATTAATGAAGGCTGCTCCTCGGGTAATAGACATAGCCAATAAGGATAACTATGCCAATTCTCTCCCAAAGTACATGTATAGATACAAGGATGGAGCAGTCAACAGCACAAAAATAGTATAAATATATTTATAGAAGAAAGACAGAGAGAGATTCCGGAAACAATAGAGAAGAGATAGAAAGAGGGCTGCTGGAGAAAGAGAAAAGAGTATATATAAACATATATACACATATTAAGAGAGAAAAACACGAGATTTCTAAAGAAAGAAGTAAGCTGCATAAATTCCAATAAACAAGTTTTTGTTGACACTCATTCTAAATCTGAATTTTACTCAGTTCTCAGAAATCCAACAAGGTCAAGCTATTATTTTATCTTTATAGATACAAATTCTATCCTTAGAAACTTAAACCTTTGTTCAGTCTCTAATATCCAATTGAATTTTCTTCATTACTTAGGTCACTGTCAATTGGTGTTGCATGTGTAAGAGGAATGGGGAGTCTGATGATCACCTCCTTTTGCATTGCCCCGTGGACCGTGGCTAACAAATGTTGGGGACTTCATGCCTCGGTCTTCAAGAGGTTTGATTGATGCTTGGAGGGAGTGTTTTGTGGCATCCCATGCCCGTGAGTTTTGGAGGGAGGCGCCCTTTTGCGTTTGGTGGTGCTTATGGAAGGAAAGGAATAGAAGATGCTTCGATCAAGAGGAATCTTCTATAAAATTTCTTGTTGTTAGCTCTCTTTTTAGCTGGGTTATGAGGAGATATTGTAAATCTATAAAGGAGATAGTTGATTCCTGGGGTTCCTTGAGTCCTGAGTCTCCCTTTTGGCCTTGGACTTTGTGTAGTGTTTGGGTTGAGTTCCTCTTTTGAATGCTTTCTAATACATATTTACTTATAAAAAAATAAAAATAAAAAATTTCTTCACTAATTTAAACATGTGATTCAGAACACACAACTATAATAATTGAAAAGTCCATCATACTGAAATTCGTCAAAGTTTCTGAGAGTATTAGGAATAGTGTTAACGCATCAAATTTAAAGTTCACATGATGTTCTGGGGAGGAATATTTTGATGGATCATAAATCCATTGTACATAAACATAATATCATTTGTATAAATATATATGATTATAGAAATGGAAAGTACGGAAATATCCAGAGCTACAGATTATCAAAGTTTATTACCAAAATGAATTTGGTTAATGTACGAACTGGTTTAGTTGTTATGTTAATGTCCATTGCTCCCGCAGAGAATTCAATTATTGATAAGAAAGTAATTTAAGCTTTGAATCCACAGATACAAATTCACGTTTAGCATTATGTATACAACAAATTAAGACTCTACTCATCCACAACCACTTTCACACTCCAATAAAACAAACAACTACCGAATAGACAACATATGAGCCCAAACAATTTCATACAAAATTTTCAAACTCAAAATCATTGCAATATAACAATCATTGCAATATAGACTCAACTAACGCAAACCCACAAAACATAACTAACAAAACTAACATATATAAAAGAAATGAAGGAGAAAAAAAAAAAAACAAACAAAAATTGAAACACTTGCCTGAGATCGACATATCAGGATCTTGAGAAGCAGAACTAGAAGAGGTGTGGGAAGTGGATTTCTTCTTGGCGGCGCCCATTTTATGCTCTCATATGCTAAATATATCTATATATGATGTGATATAAATGTCTATAGTACTATAACTGTATCACAGACGAAAGTGAAATTCTTAAACTCGAAGATGAATAGTTTACAGAAACGTCGGAACTTGAGAGGACGAGATCGAGATCGTTCGATCGATCAATCACTAAATGATTGGATCACAGATCTAGCAGGACCACAGCGACGTCCAGCACGAACACCTCTCTCCCTCTCCCTCCCTCTCTTTGGTCTCCGTACTAACTTTAGATCTAGGGAAAGAGGAAAGAGGAAAGAGGAAAGAGGAAAGGAAAAGCAAACAAAGTAAAGGAGGAAAGGTATAAAATGTTTGCTTCAAAATTAAAGTTGAAAAGGAAAGAAAAATAAATGGGCATCTACATTGCTTAACCGTTTTTCATATCTAAAAAAAAATCCAAGTGCAAATAGAAGTTTAAGGTCAGCGTGCAAGCAAAGTAGCACCAAAAAGTCCCAAAAGTTTCAAACTTTGATTGTTATCCCATAAGCTAGTCGTACTGGGGTCAACAATATTGGGCCGGTATTTTGATTGTTATATAATGCGGTATATACTCTCCAACGCGTATTTAAATTGTTCACTTCAAAAATTTTAACTTATTATCATTTTTTATTATTAAGTTATTTAATATTATTTTTAATCATATTTTTTTTATATAATTATAAATTACTGCCGTCTTTATATTAAATATTCACTTAAAAAAATTCGACTCACAAAAATTATGGGACGAAAATACTAATACAATATATGTTGTGATATATCTAAATCTATATCTATATCAATATTTTTAAATTTGTATACAATTCTAAAAGTGTAAGAAATTTATTAATATTTTTTATTTTTCCATAAAAAAGGTTCATTAAAGTATCATGATTCATGCCTTATTAATAATATAGATAAGAATATATTAATGTATGTATATAATAAATAACAAAAAAATTCATAAAAAAGGTTCATTAAAGTATCATGGATCCTATATAAATGTATATAGGGAAAAAAAATCATAACAAAAAATTCAAGAGCTCTATTTTTTTATTATAAATAAATTCATACTATTTTATTATAAATAAAAAACAAGAAAAAAAATAAAACAAACGTCGCTCTCATATTTATAGTTGTAAGGTCTTATCCCACACTATTAGTAGCCGAGGGAAGCTAAGAAAACAAGCTATTAATTGGCCCAACCACACCTAGTTTCCCCACATCGGGGATATATTTCATTTCAATCCGCTGATTTGACCAATTCCATGAGACCTTTACCCATAATCATTCTATGTATGTATGTAGCCCAGGGCCAAAGTCACATCCTTTTGTAACTTTGTTAGTCAAAAGACTTTGAGGATGTTGTTAGATGGACAAGAGAGCACTCTCTATCTCATCTCCCACCACCCTTCCTCTTTCAAGAAAGGTACAACCAAACTTCTTCTCTTCCTGTTACTGATTAGAGTCTTTGTTGCAAGTGTATAGCTGTATCAGCTGAGGAAGGCCAAGTCTCTCAACCAACAATCCGCCAAACTCACAGGCACACGTATATGTGTTGTCCAAAATATGGTCTAATTATATTATATATTATAATATTATTTATTTAAATATTATGTAAAAATATAATGTATATTTGTAATTATTATTATAAAATAATAATTTATATATATTATTTTTTATATTATATAGTTATATATAAGTAATAAAATAAAACTAAATAGAACAATAGAATATGAAGATAAGTCGAGACTAGAATTTGATTCCATATCCTTAAGACAAATTCGCCCCATTATAGTGCTAACAGATTCAGTAACGTCTATCTTCCATGATATAATGACTTGTTTTTCTTCAGTAGTGGCACTGTAAACTAAAGAAATAGGCGAACTGGTGTAGTATTCTCTGAGTCGAACTCATTGGTTAAGGCTCGAACCCACAAGATTAAGACCCGAACCCACAAACCAAGGGTCTGTATGCAAGAAGAGAGAAGAGAAAATTCAGAATCAAAGAAGAAGGATTTATGGATTTGGTGTGAATTAAAAATGATCCAAATAGGGGGTATTTATAGGCTGCAAGGTGCCTTTTCAGGTGGGTGCAACATTGGGTCACAATGGTTCAAAACTAGGTGCACCCTTTGGAAAAAAACTGTAAAACTGTTTTATGGTTTTAATTTAAATTTAAAATACCAGAAAACTGTTTTTAACCCATTTATAAAACCCGTCTGAAGCCCAGCCAAAAAATTAAAACATAGGCCCATCTTGAATAAGCCCAGCCAAGATAAAATAAAATCTAATACATGCTCATTTTCGTTTAATAAAAAATTAACCATATTTTACAATCAAGCCCAAGCCCAGACAGGGTCGGGCGGGTGAGGTGCGCGTGATAAACGATTTGAACCCAAGCTTATCTAGGTCCTCCTCCTAAAACTTGGGTGCCCTTGGGCCCAAATCCAAATCCCAAACTTGGCTAACTTATTTAAACTTCAAATGGTTTCAACATTTTTTCCATATGGGACAAGTACTTCCCACATTTTGCAAACCTATTTAGGCTTATCAAATACTTCACTTTGGAGCCAATTTCTCATTCACTCGGAAACAGATTTGAGAAAGTAAATATATCACGTTCATCTCCTTGCAAAGAGGAATGCGTTCGTCTATAGATTGGCAAAAAAATCTTGGCGGAATTTACTCCAAATTTCATCCAAAGTTCCAGTTTTGTATGCCCCATTTCCAACAATATGCACTATTATTAGTACACATAATTTATATTATGTTTATTATTATTATTAATATGATAAAAAAATAAAAAAAATAAATAAAGAGGTGGTTTCTGCTTATAATATAGTAACCACGTTTCTTAATATAATTAATGCAAAATAGATACCTTCAGAAAACCTACCCTAATACACAAACCCTATCGTTAATGTAAAACCCACCCCTTCGTTTGTATCCATTTTCAGTTCCACAAAATCGTAATTATATCTGCTGGATATTGGCTTTTGGAATCCTTCAACGCATAACGCTAGAATATGGTGATATCAGGTATGATTGTTGTTATCTAGGATTCACTAATTAATAAATAATTTACTTTTCACAAAAAAAAAAAAAAAAAAAAAAAAAAAAAAAAAAAACACGTTTAGATCATTCAAAGCAAATTAATTTGTATTCAACGGGCAAAAAAAAAGATGAAAGGATTAAAAACTAACAATGAACCCACAAACGACTATTTTCTGTAACCAGAAAACCCACAAACGTGAATACTTGTGCTGCAACAATTTCAATATTGCTTTTGACATTTTGCTATCAAGGTAATTTTTTATTTTGATTTTCATTGATTTGGACTCTAAAGAGATATAGATTTTCATTGATTTATGTTGTAAAGGTGTAGAGTTTTTGTGTGTATTTGTTTCCTTTCTATATGTTTGTTTGCCGAGAATAAATAAGGTAAAAAGTTAAAAACTCACAGAGAATTGAAATTTTTTTTTGACAATCAGGTATTTCCCAGCCGTCATTAATTGGAAACGTTATAAACATGACGCTGCTTGTGACATTTTCCTATCAAGGTAAATTTTTGTTATGGTAAATCTTATTTCTATTTTGACTTTTGATTTTAATTGATTTGAGCTCGTGAAAAGAGTTTCATTGTTTTGGGCTAAAAAGGTGGAGAGTTTTTTTATGTGCTTGTTTCCATTCTTTGCTTGTTTGCTTAGAATATCTACAAAAGATTTCACTCGTGGTTGTGATATTCTGTTTTTATTTTTTTCACTCTGTATTTTTCCAGTTTTCCCCTTTATTGTTTCATTAGTTGCGAAAAACTAAATCATAAGTATTGATTTTAATTTTATTTTAAGGGTTAGAGATATTGAACATCAATTTCAACAAATTTAATCTTTTCTGGAAAGTTACATGAATTTGATTTCTCTTTTAATTCTATGAAATAATTTTGATTCAGTTTTCTCTTTGGACTCATTTCTTTGATTTTTTATTTTTGATTTTGATTTTATTTTAATGGTTAAAGATATTGAACATCAATTTCATCAAATTTAATCTTCTCTGGAAAGTTACATGAATTTGATTTCTCTTTGATTCCTTGTTCTTTTACTTTTCTTTTTCTTTTCAATTTTAACCAAATACAATTTATCATTCTTCATTCTTTCTTTTCTTTCCTTCCAATTCCTTCAATCTAAATTCTAAACACAATGTAAATTTTTATAGTATCCAACATCTACACATGTTACAGTAGTCGCAAATTTGACACAATCAATTTGCTGAGTGTTGACCAATCAATTTGGACAATGAAAATAATCGTCCTTCGCAAAGGAAATATTCACAAATACAACAACGAAAGATCAGGAAGCCTACTAAAAGTAATATTTATGGATCGCGAAGTAAGTAAATTTTGTGCTACTACTTTTAAATTAATATATCTACCGAAAAGCTAACTGGTTGTTCCTAAAAATTTTTAAAATTTTAAAAACCTTTCAAAGAACCCAAAGTCAAGCAGCATTATTTGATGATGCAATATCCAGATTTAAGGATAAACTATCTCTCCATAATCCTTCCATAATTTCAATAATACAATGGTGTTTATATAGGAGAAGGTACATGAGTAATTGAGTAGAGAACAAGTAAACCTTATACATGGTAATTCTATATATGGTATGAGTTGTCACCTACCCCTCATATAATACTAACTGTACATGTGTGACAACTCATACAATACTATACAACGTGACAACTTATACAATACTGTACAACACTCCCCCTCAAGCTGGAGAATAAATGTCAATAACTCCCTGATAAGCGCCGAATATTGCATATTCAAGCGCCCTAAATTGCATTAGTTAAGTCCATTATTTGATTTTATTATGTAGATTACCTTCATTTGTGCATTTTTGTTTATTTTCAGGTTCATTGGCTTAAAAGAAGCAAGAATGATGTTTTGTTGAAATTTTGAATGCAAAGGCACAATGCTGAAGCTTGGCAGCAGTGGAACCTGACTTTTGTCGTCATTTTCGACCTAGAAAACTCAAGAACTAGACTTCCATCATAACATAAAAGATGTAGAGCTCTGAATCAGCTTTCCAAATCTTCAAGCGGTTCATCATTCGGAGTTCGGAGCAGAGAGTTATGATCTTCTTATTAGAGGTGCTCAGAACTGCCTGGCAGCAATGAGTTTCTGCCTTGCTCTTCAATTTCGACCAACCAAACTTGAGAATTGGATCTCCACCAAAACATAAAGTTTTTAGAGCTCTAAATCAGCTTTCCAAATCTTCAAACGGGTTGTCATTCAGAGTTCGGAGTACAAAGTTATAGCCGTTTTACCAAAGTAGGTCCGGGCGAAGCAAAGCAAGCATGGAGTAATCTGCTCCATTTTCGAGTGCTCGAGGCCCTATTTCGAGCACTCGA